TCATTGCCGGCTTTGCCATTTTCTTCTATAAACTGAAGTAAATTTTCCCAGGAAAATTTTCAGGAGTCAACTCTATCCTTACCACCAAAGAATCCGCCGTCCTGCAATCAAGGGATATCAGCTTCCTTCTTGAGAACAGATACTGAAATTACTTAGTATTTGTTTCTAGCTTTGCCAATTGGCTACACTTAATATTATGGTACAATGACCTTGTTTTTCCGAAGGACAAATAATAATAGTTATATTTAGTATTCACCAAAACAAGAAAATAAAAATGACGGACAAGAATTAATTGTCTGTCCATGACTACAAAAACAAACCTATAAATTCATCTGCGGCCAAAGTTGGAAGCTGAATCAAGGAGAATCTTTGTGCATTAGTTTTTTCCTATGTAATCTTGTTTTGTCTGGTTGTAATACCAGATTTGTACTTTTGCATAGCAGATTCCTGCTTAGTTTTGAACGAATGAAATTGCTCAAAAGTGCAGACTGACCAGGATAACAAATGGAAGCCAACAAAGTGATCCCTTAGTCGGCAACTATCTATTTCAATGAGATGAGAAACAAATTTTGGGGCCATAGCATTTGGCAGAATTTTGGTTAATTATGGCTACGAGAATTTCAGATGATCCAAAGCAATAAGCATAAAGGTTGAAAACTATCTTTATACAACAATTAGATTTTTTTATTTAGGCAACAGACTAAATCTAGACATAATAATTTATATATTTATATTATATTTATTTCATGTCAAGTAAAATATGAAAATTATTATTACAATCAGTGTGAACATATCAAATACAAAATATATTTGACAATTTGATCATACTTATATAAAATTTTGTCAATTTTACAACCTAAAAAGTTTTACTCATTTTTAAAATTGCCCCTCCTGCATTTTAATATAGAAAAATGGCACGAATTTGGGTTTCGGCTTAAGCATAAGATTGGGATTGGTCCAGTTCAGTTAGTTGCCCCCCTAGTTGGGCTTCTCTTTCTCAGTCTGATTAAAAGTTGTTGAAATTGGGTTATTTCCTACATTGGGTCTGTTTCTTGATCTGTTAAAAAGTTGGGGCAGGCCTTTTTAATTTAAAATTAATAATCATTAAAACCCTAAAAACCTGTAAAAACAAACAATGAGAATCTAGCCCTGTAACTGGAACTGAAACTCAACGCAGTCTCCCCCTTTTCTCTTTATCCTCCTTCATCTCCACTCATTTGCTCTATATCCGTTGCAACTCAGCAAAGATTCTTCGTAGGCACAACACCATCTTCCTCAATAAACTCAGGCACTTTCCTTTCCAAAGATTCTTCCATTTTTTTTTTTTTTTGGTTTTCTTTCTGTTTCATTTTCATGAATTTTATTTTGTTTTGGTTTTGAACAGTTTCCATTGGTTTCACGAGATGGCAACAGAGGGAGGCAAGAGCTATGCCAGGAGAGACAAACTCCTCGAAATCGAGTCAAAGGTTAGAGTTTGGTGGGAAGAAAAAGATGTGTTTAAAGCTGAACCTAATGAAAAACCACCTCAACCAGGTGAAAAATTCTTTGGGAACTTTCCTTTTCCTTATATGAATGGTTTTTTACATCTGGGCCATGCCTTTTCGCTTTCGAAACTCGAGTTTGCTGCTGCTTATCATAGATTAAGAGGTGCCAATGTGTTATTGCCTTTTGCTTTTCACTGTACCGGTATGCCAATCAAGGCTTCAGCTGATAAACTTGCTAGGGAAATCAAACAATTTGGTGATCCACCCATTTTTCCTCATGAGGTAGTGGATGAGGAACCTAACCCAACAGAAGAATCTGACCCAAATGAAGATGCCAATGTGGCGCCTGATAAGTTTAAAGGTAAAAAGTCTAAGGCGGCATCGAAATCTAGTGGACAGATGTTTCAGTGGGAAATTATGAGGAGTTTTGGACTTTCAGATAGTGAGATATCAAAGTTTCAGAACCCGTATGAATGGTTGAAGTTCTTTCCGCCATTGGCTGTTCAAGACCTCAAGGCTTTTGGATTAGGTTGTGATTGGAGAAGGTCATTTGTGACCACAGATATGAATCCGTTTTTTGATTCGTTTGTTAAGTGGCAGATGAGGAAGTTGAAATCGATGGGTAAGATTGTTAAAGATATGAGGTATACTATATATTCTCCATTGGATAGTCAGCCATGTGCTGATCATGATAGGGCAACTGGTGAAGGAGTTCAGCCTCAAGAGTATACTATTATTAAAATGGAAGTGGTGCCACCTTTTCCAGCTAAAATGCGTGTTTTGGAAGGGAAAAAAGTGTTTTTGGCTGCTGCAACATTGAGGCCTGAGACCATGTATGGGCAAACAAACTGCTGGGTTTTGCCTAATGGGAAATACGGAGCCTTTGAAATCAATGAAACTGAGATATTTATTCTGACTGAGAGAGCAGCACTCAACCTTGCTTATCAGAAGCTCTCCCGCGTCCCTGAAAAACCTAATTGCTTGGTTGAACTGACTGGTTATGATCTGATTGGTCTTCCTGTAAAATCTCCTCTCTCATTTAATGAGATCATATATGCTCTTCCAATGATGACAATTCTAACAGACAAAGGTACAGGGATCGTGACCAGTGTTCCTAGCGATGCTCCTGATGATTATATGGCCTTACATGATTTGAAAGCAAAACCCGCTTTTCGGGCAAAGTTTGGGGTGAAGGATGAATGGGTATTGCCATTTGAGATTATACCCATCATTGACATTCCAGAATTTGGAGACAGGGCAGCTGAAAAAGTTTGTGTGGATCTGAAAATCAAAAGTCAGAATGAGAAAGAAAAGCTTGCTGAGGCGAAGAGGTTGGTGTACTTGAGAGGTTTTACAGAGGGAACCATGACTGTTGGAGAGTATGCAGGAAGAAGAGTCCAGGAAGCTAAGGCACTGATAAGGACCAAACTGATTGAGACAGGCCAGGCAATAATTTATAGTGAGCCTGAGAAGAAGGTTATGTCAAGGTCTGGTGATGAGTGTGTTGTGGCTCTTACAGATCAATGGTACATCACATATGGGGAACCGGAATGGAAACAAGTAGCTGAGGAGTGCTTATCCAACATGAATCTATACTCTGATGAGACACGACATGGCTTTGAACATACTTTAGGATGGCTGAACCAATGGGCTTGCTCACGATCCTTTGGGCTTGGGACTCGCATTCCTTGGGATGCAGAATTCCTTGTTGAGTCATTATCTGACTCAACCATTTACATGGCTTATTACACAGTTGCTCATCTTTTACAAAATGGGGACATGTACGGAAAAAGTGCCGATCTGGTTAAACCTGCCCAGATGACTGATGAGGTCTGGGAATTTCTCTTCTGTGGTGGTCAGTATCCCAAATCTTCTGATATCCCATCCTCTGTTCTTAACAAGATGAAGCAGGAGTTTGAGTACTGGTATCCATTTGATCTTAGAGTTTCTGGAAAAGACCTTATCCAGAACCATTTAACATTTTGCATCTACAATCACACAGCAATCATGTCCAAGGATCACTGGCCTCGTGGATTCAGGTGCAATGGACATATTATGCTTAATTCAGAGAAGATGTCCAAGTCTACTGGAAATTTCAGGACACTGCATCAGGCAATTGAGGAATTCTCTGCTGATGCTACAAGATTCTCTCTGGCTGATGCTGGGGATGGTGTAGATGATGCAAACTTTGTGTTTGAGACTGCCAATGCTGCAATCTTACGGCTTACAAAAGAGATTGCATGGATGGAAGAGATTCTGGCTGCAGAATCGTCTTTGAGGACAGATCCCCCATCTACCTATGCTGATCGGGTGTTTGAAAATGAGATAAACATTGCTGTCAAAATGACTGAGCAGAATTATAGGGATTACATGTTTCGGGAGGCTCTCAAGACTGGCTTTTATGATCTTCAAGCTGCCAGGGATGAGTATAGGTTCTCTTGTGGCAGTGGGGGCATGAACCGTGACCTCGTATGGCGGTTTATGGATGTGCAGACTAGGCTTATCACTCCAATCTGCCCTCACTATGCGGAGTTTGTTTGGAGAGAGCTTTTGAAGAAGGATGGCTTTGTGGTGAAAGCAGGCTGGCCCACAGCAGATTCTCCAGATCTGCAACTCAAGAGTGCCAATAAGTATTTGCAAGATTCCATTGTGTTGATGAGAAAGCTGCTCCAGAAGCAGATTTTGGGATCAAAGAAAGCTAATAAGAAAGGTGCTCCTGTTACATCACTAACTGAGGACAAGTTAAAAGGCCTAATCTTTGTGAATGAGCAATTTGAAGGATGGCAAGCAGAGTGTTTGCAGATTCTCCAAAGCAAGTTCGACAATAAGACCCATACTTTTGCATCAGACGGGGAGATAATGAACGCATTGCAGGAGAGCACTGTTGGTCAGGCAGCAGACTTTAAACAGATCCAGAAACGTTGTATGCCATTCTTGAGGTTCAAGAAGGATGAGGCTATTAAAATTGGTGCCCAAGTCCTGGATTTGAAGCTGCCCTTTGGAGAGATTCAGGTCCTTAAGGAGAACTTGGACTTGATCAAAAGACAACTTGGTCTTGAAGAGGTAGAAGTCTTGTCGGCCACTGATCCTGATGCTTATGTTCAAGCTGGTCCTCATGCATCCTTGCTAAAGCAGAATCCTCCATCCCCTGGAAATCCGACTGCCATCTTCCTGTCAATGTGAAGGAACTTTGTCATTTTAGCATGCTATGTTACAACGAGGAAATGTTTTTTTGTTGGACTATTTGGTATCAGGCGTTCTAAATTGGTGTTTTCTCTCTGCATCTGTGTTTAATTGGGTGTTGAACAGCGAATGGTCACTTATGCTTAAATAAAAATTGAGTTTATTACTGTATGCAGGTAAAACATTTTATTGCTGTCTTCCAGAAATATTGCATCAAAATGCTGTTGTGACATGTCTTTGCTAACCTATGTGTTTTTCCTATTTTGTTTTGCATTTAAAGTCAAAGATTTTTTTTTTTTCTTTTGATATTTTCTTCTATCAGTTTTGCTTATTCATTCCTATTTGTTTTTTTAAATTCCAACATTATTGACCTGGTTCTTACTGTTAATCGCTCGCAATTGTACGAAAAAACACCAATGGTGTTTCAAAAGCAAGAAAAAGAACAGGTTTCCAGTTCAGTTTACTGAGTGATCAGTGCTTGCATTGTCGCAATCCGGTTTCTAATGATGATGTGGTAGGAATCGTTTTCTATTGGTCATCCAAATAAAACATTAATAAAAAAAATTTAGTAAAAAAATTCTTGTTTTGTTACCATTTGAATTTAACATGGTAGTGCATGGAAAACATAGCTTAAGACAAATGATTTTTACTTAAACATTCCTACCACTACAAAAGGTTTTATAAGAATTTCATTTTTTTTTATAGAAGAATTAAAAGAATTCTATTGTATTGTCATTACTCTTTCAATCTCTTTTATTTTTTCAAAATTATATATTTTTTTAAAAACCTAAAATTCTTAATTTTTTTATATTCCAAAACTTTTTTTTTCATAATTTTTTATTTTTTGGTATTAAAAACTAGGAATTGTATATTTTACAAAAAATTAAAGTTAATAATTCATGTTAAATCTCTCTTTTTTTAATTCCAAAAAACAAATAAGAACATAAAATATGAAACAGAAGGAGTATCAAATATGAAAAAATAAAGTTGTTAAATGAAAAAAAAAATGCACTTTCAATTGTTTTATTGATTAAAAAAGTTTTTATTGAACGAGTAAATACAAGCGTATAACCCTACTACTTTAGGTAATTGCAAAAATATTCCTCAATATAATGAAATTAGACATTCACCCCACAAGGACGTATTTGACATGTAAAAGAAAATCTTTCAGTTCTAAAAAAAAAAAAAATAATGGACCGTTAAAACTTCCTCTTTTCTTGCCTTAATTATCGGATCCTTTGGTTTACCATTTTTCACTTCAAATGCGTCCCCGTAAACTATTCCAATTTCCCACATTTTCGTGGAAAACTAATCACCATTTTCTCATCCTTTTCCATTTTGTGTCACGGAACAATGCTTGTTTTTCTCACCTTTTATTGAAAAACAGAGTCTTCTCTTTGATCAACCTGGTAAGTTTTAAGTTCAACTCTTAATATTTTTGTATTTGTTTCTTTTAATATGGATTGATTTATCTTTCTTTTTCTTTTTGCTTTCAATTTGTTTATTGCAGTCAATATGAATAGGAGGAAGTTAGCATACGAGAGACATCAGACCACGGCGGACTCGGAGACGCCAGGGACGCCGGCATCACCACTGACATCATCGTCGCCGATACACCGCCACGGACGGTCGGGATCAAGCTACGCAAGCATGGGGAACATGAAGAAAGCGCAAACGAAAGCGGCGGCTCAAAGGCTGGCGGCCGTTATGGCACACCAGCAAAGCGTGGAGGGTGATGATGATGATGATGATGACCAGCTTGATTATAATAACATTAATGGCACGGGAGGCATTGGACTCGCTGGTGGAAGAGCAACTCGTGCTCGTTCTCCTATGGTAATTTAATGTTACGTGATCTCAGGGGTAGGGTGTCGGATAAAGTATGTGTTCGAAACATGATGGTTTTGACAATTTTTACATTAATTTTGAGATTAAAGTTTCATATCAGTATGAATAATGAACTGTTTAAGGAGTGAAACAATGGATTAAAATATCTTTATATGTTTTTTTTAAACTTACCCCATTATCAGTTCTGTCATAGGCACTTCTCTTTAATGGGCATTTTCAACACTATTTTGCTATGCAAGAGCTTGGCATTGGAAATAAATAATTCTTACTTCTTACCAGCTGGGTTTAACTTTGTCAAATCCAGAACAAAAACATGGCTCAAAGGCGAGTTCCGCAGGCAATGACACAACAACTAGCTGATGAGGACAATGATGAGGATGACATTTTAGTGACTGGCACGCCAAGTATAGGGCTTGGTGGTGGAAGAGCAATGCAGTCACGCTCTCCTATGGTAATTATATCGAATTATCTAATACTAGGAATTTGGTTTAGGTTGACCTATGCTATGTTAGTTAAGTGAGAGGTAAGAGAAAAAAGAGTGAGTTGAATTAGGCAAGTTAAAAGACACTTTCCTTAGCTATGATCATGACTCAATTAAGTATTAAATTCTCTTATGCTGCTCTAAACTCTAAATTTGTTCATGGTTGCATGTGGTAGAGTTATGACTTATGACATTGCAAGTCAATTTATTCTTACTTGGACTTGCATTGTAAAATCCAGCACAAAAACATGCCTCAAAGGCGAGCTCCAGTAGTGATGACACAACAACCAGCTGATGAGGATGGACTTTTAGTCAGTGGCACAGCTAGCATAGGTCTCGCTGGTGGAAGGGCAATGCGGTCACAGTCTCCTGCAGTAATTATCTAACACAAATTTGGTTTTAGCTATACCAGCTGCATGTGTGTCAAAGTGAGACGCACAAACTTGTAGTTCAATAAATTCCATTTGACAAGTTAAAATAACACTTCTCTATAAAAGATTTTTTTGACCACTATTAACTGTATTATCAATTTGCCATGCGTTGTAATGTATTTCAAACTCTCTTATGCTGCTCTAAAGCTTGTTAATGTTAGCATGCTAGCTGGTTTTACATTGCAAATAAATATGTTCTTACTGCAACTTATCTTGTAAAACCCAGAACAAAAACATAGCTCAAAGGCGAGCACCACAACAACCATCTGATGAGGACAATGATGATGATGACCTTTTAGTGACTGGTACCTCAAGCATAGGGCTCGCAGGTGGAAGGGCTATGCAGTCACGCTCTCCTGCGGTAATTATATGATTATCTGATTTAGATAGACATGTTTGTCTAGTGAGCCTCAGGGAAAGAAAATGAATGCAATTAGACAAGTTAAATTCTTAGTTTGAGCTACATTTATAACAAATTTTAAATTCTCTGGACATATAATAGGTTTTGTCTAAAATTGCTCAAGTTGTTTAAGTTTCAGACTTAAAATTTTAAATTTATCTTTTTGTCATTTTAACTTTTGGAGCTATGAAAGTACTGTGTTTTTATAAGCTTGGCTTGAGCTGTCTCTGATAAATGTAACATTTTGTCAACACGGTATGAAATGGAACGTGAGAGTGTGAACAAGGTAAGTCATAAGCTAATAATTGAGTGACCTGTTCATGCATGCTTGAGCACTGGAAATCAGTAATTGACTGATTTAGTCTTTAAGGACTCGGAATATTCCTTAATGCATTATTACTTATTAAAAAGAGAAGTGTATTATTCAGTTGACTAGTTGTTTGGTAACCATATGGGTCTTGCGTGCAAAATTACTTATTTGATTTTCTTATCAGTACAAATTTGGTGATTTGAACATATTGTTGTTTATAATTGGGTTGCTGCTTGAAATGTGTTTAGGGAAGAAAGTTTAATATTAAGTTGCAAAGGAATTTGTTGAATAAGATAATTCATAGATGTCTAATCGTTAGTTTGTAACTTCTGTGACTTACACATTACATGCAAAAGCCTGATGCTACCAACAAATATGTTCTCGGTGGCCTTGCACTGTATAATTTTGCAGACTAAAAACATAACTCAGAAGCGGCTGCCACAAGTTACTACACGGAAAGCATCTGATAAGGGCGATGATGAGGATGACCTTTTAGTTAGTGGCAGAGCAAGCATTGGTATTGCTCGTGGTAGGGCAATGCAGTCACGCCCTTCTATGGTAATTATGTGATTTCCTATTATGAATTTGTTTTAGCTAATTTCTTGCTTGTCATGCTAATGTGAGAGAAGAAGCATGAGCTTGAGCAGACAAGTTATGATGTGAGTTTAAGGAAAAGATTTACGGTTAATGCTGGAGTTTTATGCTACTGAGAAATGCATTCTTATATGGACTTCCATTTGTAAACACAGGCCAAAACTATGGCTCAAAGGCCTGTGCAACAAGTAGCACAGCAACCAGGTGATGAGGACAATGATGTGGATGACCTTGCAAATAATAATAGTTCAGCGAGTGGCACAGCAACCATTGGACTTGCTTGTGGAAAAGCAATACGTTCATCTTCTCCCTCGGTAATTTGTCTGTTAACTGAGTATGCTCAGTTATCTAAATTTTTTGTTTGTTTAATGCTTATATTACTTACGAATGTAATTCTTACTTGTAACTTTAAATTTGCTATTAGTCAGTTCATATCAATCAGGATCAACCACCATCTACACATTCCACACCAGGCAGTCAAACCTCTCTATCTGTCAACAATATGGAGCAACCATTATCATCTTATTCAAGTGGCCAACCATCTCACTCTATCAGCTCTGTGGAGCAACCCATGTCTCCTTATTCCATTTCAGGCGGACAACCATCTCTGCAGAGTTCTGCAGAACAGCCAACTGCTGGCCGGTTATCTCCATTAACCAGATCCATAGAGCAACCTTTATCTGCTCGTTCCACAGCATCAGGTCGCCAACATTTAGGAGTCAAGGCAGTTCCTGTGATACCTCATACAGTGCCTATGCCACTGAAGCCAACCTCATCTGTTAGTTCAACAGAGGCTTCAACTGATAATCGGAGAGATAAACGGTATATTATAGCTCTAAGCTGGTGTGATTTCAGTTTGAAGGATGAAGTTATCATCCATATCGTAATCCCCTCCAACTTTTTTCTTTCGTCACCCTTATTTTTTTTTGTTAGTTTTATACATATAATGTGAATTTTCCCTTTTAACTTGGTCTTTGAAGTTTTAGATATATTAGAAAGAGAATGAGGAAATCTGCCATCAAATGGAGCAACTTCTCTGATTCGTGATTTAGAAGCGATTGAGTGTCATAATTTTAAACAACATTAAGAACATTCTTATATAACATAGTCACAAGATAATAGATATATATGAGTAATTCAGGTCCTTATGTTTTCATCTCTACAGTAAGAAAGGCTTTGTTGCTGCTCTTCCAGTATTCAAGAATGCATAATGCCCTCCCCTGGAAGTATTTAAGCCCATCACCATCATGCGTTTTTCTCAATTAATAATGTTAAGGTCTCAAGATCCTGGGATCATGTAAAATGCCCATTGCACTGGTTTAGGTTCTTTCTTTGTTTCATCTATAGTGCTCTAAAATTTATAGTGTAAGCAGATTGTCTTCAGATTTTGGGAGTATGAGCAGCTTGAAAGATAGGGGAAGACAGCAGTCTACTTCTGCTTTACAAGATGAGGTACAGTCACGTTAAGCTAAATATGTGTTTCCTTCTAGCATATATTAGTTGCAATTTTATTTTTTTCTTTTTTGTTCTAAGGAATTATTTGAAAGCAGGTGTATAGGTCATCATATCTTCTTTTTCAAAAACCTAATTAATTTGTTCAAGTCTGAACACTTCAAATTTCAGTCTATGTGATCAAACACATGAAGAAGCTTAGGAAAATGTTTATTTTTATCTTCCAGTAATGTGGTGTGAATTTCATGGCAGCTTGATATGCTACAGGATGAAAATGAAAGTTTAATTGAAAAGGTGATTCCAGCAACTTTTTTCTTCTTTGTTATGTAACTTGTTCTATTGTTGTATCTAGTAAAGTTGTATGAAAAGTTTTATTTGGAAAATGATATTGTATTCATGCACATCAATTTGGCTCTCCATCATCTTCAAGCACTGAGCCAATATCCTAAATTGTTGCAACAGTTATCTTCAAATGAACGGGCATAATCTATCTGAATACTGGCATTTGGATATAACTTTTGCAACACCATTTTCTCCCAAAAACTCTGATGTAATTAGGTTAGCCAACTAAGTGCTTTGGCCTACGGAAAATGTTAATAATAGTCATATACTGTTATTTTTGGTGCTCCATCATGATATTTGCCTTCCCAGCTTCAACTTGCAGAGGAGAGGTGTGAGGAAGCAGAAGCAAGAGCTCAGCAGCTTGAGAAACAGGTGAACTTTTCTCAGTTTAAAGAAAACTAAACAAGAGAAATGTAAATGAACTTTATACCGCTCCAGCAAGCAAAATTATGTATTTGTTTACTTGATTCATAACATGTTCAATATAGATTGCTAATCTTGGAGAAGGTGTAACTTTAGAAGCACGTCTTTTAAGCAGGCAAGTTTTATGGCTTACAAGAATTTAATGTTATATTGTGATTTATTTTTCCTTTTTCTTATGCGCTATTTGTCTTCCTCTTCAGAAAGGAGGCAGCCCTGCAGGAAAGGGAGGTTTGTACTTCTAAAGAGTGCCACTCTTTTCTTGTCTCAAACTAATCTGCATGTGTTATCAGTCTCATTATGCATGGAAAATTACATAATACTCGATAACTATGAGCCTTAAAAGACATTCTTTTGTCTTGTAAGTGTGTGTTTACTGAGTTTATTTATGCTTATTTCTGCATCTTTTTATGCAATCTCTCTTTGTGAGATGGTACTGCTTTCATGCATAGATAGGTTTATTATATACACCTGAAGCAGGCATGTGCATGAAATTTTAGCATAAATTTTAAAATGAGAATCTGATATGTAAAAATAAATGCCGACTCAACAGTCAATAGACACTAAGCACAGAAGTTGGTGTTGCTTTAGATCTGTAGGAAGGATTGCCAGAGGTCCATGCTTTATTCATTCTTAACATCTTCAATAGTTTCATTGCTTTTGTAGATCTAGCTAGTCCTGCTTTGTTGCTTATAACTGACTTCTTTTTGCAAAAATCATTGTGCTACTTTAATTCTTTTACTTTTACATTTTAGTCTGGACATGGTTTATGAACTGCAGCTGAGTAGCATATGACATTGTTCTTCTTGCAGGCTGCTTTAAGAACTGCAACGCAAACTCATGGTGGTATACCCGAACAGATTGCTTCTCTTCGGACAGAGGCTGAGGTATTTTGAAATTTTATGTTGTATGCTCTGGCTTTTTCTTTTGAATGTTACCATTCTTAAAAAGGGGGAAATGTTCTTGCTTAACTTAATTTTCTCTGTTCTTAAATTGTGAGCTAGATCGCCAGAGATGAAGCAACATCTGCCTTAGATAAGCTCCATGAAGCGGAGTGTGAAATGAAATCTCTGCAAACAGTAACTCAAAGGATGATGCTGACTGAGGAAGAGATGGTTGACTTTATTTCTAATCTTGCAGAAATCATTTTGTCAGTTTACTCCTTAATGTCATAGTTACGTAATCTGCAGTTTTCATCTTAGGAAGAGGTTGTTTTAAAGAGATGCTGGCTTGCTCGTTATTGGATTTTATGTGTGGAACATGGTAAAGTGTTGATATTTAAATACGTGAAATTCCTGATTGTTTTTGAGTTGATGCTGCTGTATTGGATAAACAGTTGCCTCTATAATCACCAAAAGTTAAAGCACTGCGTTCCAATATAAATGGTTAGGTGATCCTGAGAGTAATTAAAGTTGCAACTGCAGTCAGTTTCTTTAATGTGCAAACCCATAATTCTGTCTTTGTACATTTTGTATGAAGCTGCTTAGATTTCTCAAGGACATGACCTTTTGCAGGTATTCAGGCAGAGATAGCTGGGGCAAAACATGAATATTGGTCATCATTTGCTCCTCTTCCCGTTGAAATAGTATTAGCTGCTGGGCAAAGAGCCAAAGAGGAGGAATCTTCATGTAAGATTTCATTTGATATGCATGCTTTAATTCATCCACTTCCCCATATATTCCATCTGACCTTTGATAGGATTGGAAAATGAATATTTCGATGATCTTTTCCATTTGTTTTTATGCTTCTTAGAGTCTCAAATTCTCTCTCTCTCTCTCTCTCTAGTGGAGAGAAAACTAAATGTCTCAGTTTTGCTTAATCCTTTGTTGTCTTATCTCCATATTGAACAGCGAACAATGATTTAGAAGAAAGAGAAAAGGTCCTGCAAGACTTTGGTGCACTATCTGGAGAGAGAAATGTTGAAAGCATGCTTTTAGTTGAGAAAGGTCTAAGGGAACTGGCTTTATTTAAGGTTTCTGCCGTATCCTTGTGTTTGCAGTTGTGATATCATCTTTCTTCTCACTTATCATCATTATCATAGAGTTATGATGTAATAGCACATGCTATCTTCCTTCTTATGCGCTTTCTTATTATTATTTTTTATCAATTTAATGATAATATCACATGACATGGTCAGTTTGCTTGCAGTCTTAAAGAATATTTTCCCCTGTATTTGGTGGTTCTTTTAAATAATTTATCTTTTCTGAAGGTAGAGGATGCAGTTGCATTTGCAATGGCTAAAAATCGACGCCAGAATTTGCTAAAAACTGGTATTATTTTTCTTTCCTTTTCGAACAACATGACATCTATTAATAAAGGGAGAATCTGCCATTCTATTGGCATGTAATAACATCTTTAGAATTGATATTTCATTGTCAATGCAAAGTTGTGCATGAGTGGCATGCTTTAAAATGCAGAAGATGTTCGGTTGCTTAACAATTTTTTCCTTTTTACTGTTATCATGTTTGCAGATGAGGTGAAACTACCAACTGAGGGTCAATTTGAGGCATTTGGTAAGTTAATCTCAATTCCTAGTACTGATTAATATAAACCTTTTTTCGTCTTAAGCTCAGTAATGTGCTTGCTTAAGTGAATGGAAGTGTTTGTTATGCATCTATTCCTGTATTCTGTTTACTCCCGTTTATGGTAATTGGGTTTTGGATCTAATAACTATTCCTAAACCAAGCAAAAACAAAAGCACTGAAATAAAGGAAATTTTCTTTCAGAATTGAGCCAAGAGGAGTCTGAAGATGTTCGTTTTAAGCAGGTATGATGTTTCCTTTATACTAACTTCTTTTGCTAAGAAAAATTATAATGTTGTTAAGGCTCGAAGCTAATTATTTTTTTCTCTTGGCTCTTATGTTCAAGTTTATCTTCATTGCAAGCATTTTAAAAGCGATTAGTCACAAGAAATCTTCAGCTAGTCTTCTCCCTAGGAGTATGGTCTTGGATAAAGTACTTCACACTCTTATGATTTAGGGAAAGTAATAACATTGTGAGAAAACAAGTCTCTTTTTATATTTTAAAAATGTAGAATAACTTTGGTGTTGATGGATCTTGTACATATAGCATGAGGCAGACTTGAAGGTTGTGAAATTTCAAAGGCATGGTGAGGCACTTGAAGTTCTACATCTACCAGTAGTCTGCTTGATCAAGTTTTGTGTTTTGACTAGACCTTTGCGTTAGATTACTGGTGATAGAGCATTTTGGCCGTTGATTTATCCAATGGGGAAGTTTGTTCTGCAACTGGCAGTATTTTTTTCTCATGCCCACTTTCAGGCTTGAAAAGGTTTGGCATCGAAAAACCGCATTGATAAAAGATTAGTACAGATTGGGCAGCTTGAATCTGTTGCTATCTATAAGTTGAAATGTTTCAATTTTACTGTTCAAAGAAAGAAAACATGTGTTATATAGGTTACATACATCTAGATACCTACTTATATGGTTCTGAAAAAAGAAAACAAAATCAAGTGGATTTTTAACTTGTGGGAAATGCATTAAGAGCCGACAAATTTCATGAAATCGTTGGTGTGGTGAAAACTAATTTGAATGTGACATTTTTTTTCCTAGCAAGCATCAAGAATCTTCATTGAGCTATTTCTTATTGCTTATGCTTGTGCAGTCTTGGCTAATTTATTTCTGGAGGAGGGCAATGAACCATGGAGTGGAACCTGACATTGCAGAAGAACGTTTACAGTCATGGATCAACCGCAGCTCACGTCTCTCCACTTCACAGGATGCAGTTGATGGTACTTGCTCTCTGTTCATCTTCCTTTCTTCCTATGCATAGCATGTTATGGAAACTTTGACAAGTGGGAATATTTCTCCCTTCATCATGGTGGCTCTTAGTGAAGCTCATTTGGTGAAAAAACACAGAAACCTTTCAGATCTCGCATAAAAATATGCCCTAATAGAATCATCCCTTTTTTTTTTTTTAATCCTATCAACTTCCCCTGGAGGGACCGGTAGCGAGGACCTACATCTTGCTCTTTGCTGATGATATTCACCGTGTTTTGCTTGCTGAGTTTCTGTTTTCATGGAAACTAGACAAAAACATAAGAAATAAACACCTTATCTGCTAACTTTAGATCAATTCCAATTGACAATGCTTAAAATCTATTGTTCTTTCTGCTGTGTGACAGTTGAGCGTGGCCTTATGGAGCTGAGGAAGTTAGGCCTTGAGTCCCAATTATGGAGGACATCAAGGCAAGGATTGGAGCTTGCTTCCACCACCAGGCTGCATATTGAGACAAATTTCTGACACAAAAGTTTCGTAACTATTGCTGGAAATTTTTCTTTCATTCATTACATGGCCAGAACCTTTCTTTGAGGAGGCATCGTCTATAGTAATATATTGAGAGTTACTGCAAAAAATTTTGTAATATTTGCACTCTTGAAAATGTAAGACTCAGAAAGAAGATTCTTCTTTTGTCTTTATTTATTGTTTTTTTTCTCTGGCTATAAATTTCATTGGGAGATAATTACGTTATTGGGAGAAAGTTTCGAAAGTTATAAAAATATTTTTTAAAAAATAATGAAATTATTGGAAGAAATTTTATATATTTTAAAAATAGAGATGTTTGAAAACAATTGTTAAGATTTTTTTAAAGTTTTTCTTAAAAATATTAACCATTTATTATTTGAAAAAGAAAATAAAAAAACCATTGAAATTATACTAACCATTTTGTACTAAATGGCCGTTCAAAAGATTAAAAAATTTAATATAAAAATATAAAACTTTTAGGTTAAATAGAAAAGCAAATGGAGGAATTTGATTTGATAGTTGAACAAATCATCAGTAAAAGATTTTTTATTTTCATAGCGCAATTACCATTATACCCTCAAATTGGGTAGGTGGACGTAAAATCTAGAAGTCTGCCTCGCCGATTCTTACCGTTTTCGATATTAAATTCCCAAACAACACTCATTTCTCACTCTCGTCTTTTGTTGTTTTCCTTTTATGTACTGTGAACTGTAAAGGGGTGCGCTGAGGTTATCTTCTTTTTACTTTACAATTCCCATTCAATTTTTAAGGGCTTTAAAAGTTCTGATCTGATTCATTTCTCTGTATCTATAGCTTGATTTTGCTTGTTCTTCGGCTTTTATTTAAGATCTGCGCCAGAATTCTTTTTTTTTTTTAACTAGATTTTGCTGGCTTGCTGGATTCTTTTCATTATTTTTATTGTGTAAGATAAGCTTGATTTTGATGGCTATGAATCCTTTTTTATGATTGAAGAAAGTTAAAAAAAAAAATGGTAATTTAAAAAAAGAGTATATATTGAAGACGATTCTGTGCTGAATAAGGTCGCTGAATTTTCTTTTTTTTTTTTCCTAAAATTATAGATTTTCTTTTCAATTTTGTTTGCTGTTATATGATTTAAAGATAGTGCATGAACATAATCCCTTTTTAGTTGGGAGAAATTATCATATTTGGTGAAGATTTAGCTTTTGTAATTTTATTTTAGATAACTCCTTGAATTTCTCTAGTGGTTGGTTGAGTGTAGGGCACTGTTAGTGAGATTTTTAGATGTATGTTTTATATATATTTGACAATTTTAACGAGTTTATATTTGGTGCGCAATTAATCTCTAATTTGTAGCATTTATTAGTAAGGGTTTAAAGTTATTGATGATGTGGTGAAATGGGAACTAACTTTTGAATTTATATAACCTATCAGAATTATTTTTTGAGCCTTTTTTCTTCGTCATTAATGTGCTATCAAAGATGTTTTTCATATAGGGAAAATTATTTTCTGGCATATCTAACATTGTGTAGTATAGATCACATCGAAAAATGGTGAAGGCCGTTGCCGTCCTTAGCAGCAGTGAAGGTGTCAGTGGAACCGTATTCTTCACCCAAGAGGGAGATGGTAAATTACAACTCTGATAAGACCTTTTAGTTTCTGTGTTTCTTGTCAAAGTTATCTAATCTTATCTGCCCATTTTAGGTCCAACTACTGTGACTGGGAACCTTTCTGGTCTTAAGCCTGGATTCCATGGCTTCCATGTTCATGCCCTGGGGGACACGACAAATGGTTGCATGTCAACAGGTTAAAAGCTTGAAAGTTGGATTCTTTTTTTCCTTTTTGTTTTGAGTGGAAGGAAAAAAGAAAATTAATGACAGGAAGTTGGCTTATTTTATATCTTTCATCTTCTGAATTTTTTTTTTTTTGGGGGGGGGGGGGTGTTTGACCTTGTGATTAATCTGTTTGCAGGACCCCACTTTAATCCTGTTGGCAAAGAGCATGGTGCCCCAGATGATGAGAATCGCCATGCTGGTGATCTAGGAAATGTCACTGTTGGTGATGATGGTATGGATATTTTCTTTCTGTCAATGACCATAAGCTTTTAGAACATTACTAGCAGTTTGAAAATTCTTTATATTTGTTTTCTTTTCTTTGTCTTGTTTCAACTTTTTCGGTTATATGTTCTTGGTGTTCATATTTCTTGTAATGTTGACACTGTTAATTTTATTTGAGTGCTTCAGGCTGTGTGAGTTTCTCTATCATTGACAAACAGGTTTTTGTTCAACTCCTTTTTCCTCTTTGCTTAGATTTGATTTCTTCTCTTATGCTAGTGGTCTTACCTGTGATCAACTTAAGCTCATTTCTGAAAGCTGTTGTTCTATACTTTGGTAGATTCCTCTCACTGGGCCACACTCAATTATTGGAAGAGCTGTTGTTGTCCATGCGGATCCTGATGATCTTGGCAAGGGTAATATAATAGTTCAAAATTTTGAGTCTGTTTTAGTTGTTTACTTCTTTTATAGTCTTGCATATGCTAGGGATGCTAGTTAATAAGTGGTGAACTTTCTGAAATAGTCTCCCTCCCCATGATCTTTTCTTCCTGGCTAGAAGGAAAATTAAATTAGAAATACTAATATACCCTTATGCTGATACTTGTCTTTGGAGATTAGCCTAGTCATTGATGTTAGTGAGTTAATTAGATGCTTGTCCTAAAGCTTACATAAGTATCCACCGAGAACCACGAAATGGATTTGGATATTAGGGGCATTGTCAAGTTTATTCTCTATTCAAATTGATCTTTTACTGGTTACTCCATTTTAGTTGCTAATTTATGTATCCAGCAGTATAGACATTTTATGCCACTGCTATTGATTTTTGCAGGGGGGCATGAGCTTAGCAAGACCACTGGAAATGCTGGTGGCAGAGTAGCTTGTGGTAAGTTACATATCTTGATCACATTTGAAGAAACTTTCTTTATTATTTGAACATCCATCATTGTGTTGAGATTGTGCATGTCAAATCGTGATTATTTTCTATGTTTTATAGAGACAGTTCTATGAATTATCTCATCAATAATTTTCTTTTTCTCCTTTTAATTGCCTGATCTATTATTGTTTATTATTATTATTGTTGTTACTTTTGTAGGTATTATTGGTCTGCAAGGCTGAAATCTCAATGACCAGAATAATTCATGCGTTTGGAGATGCAATGGCCTTGAGAGTAAACTCTTTATGTGAACTACAAACTTTTTGAATAAAAGTAAAAAAGAATCTTGTGTACTTTTGTTGTTGTGTTTGTTTTGAGACTTAAAAGAGTGCTCTCTTAATGGCGGGTTTTGAAATTTAACGTAGTAGCTTCTTTTGCTGAGATCCCATACTTTGTTTTTTGTCCTTCTGGAAAATTGCCTCAAAGCCATTTTTACGTAATAGGTTGATTTTGCATGAAGCTATCTTTATAATCTAAAGCCTGACCTGACACTGAAGAAAAAGCATGCGTGTTTACGCCTCTACTGTGGTGATGTTCTTGAGATTAGTTCAACTTTTCAAGTTTTTCTTTGGTACGTAATTGTGAATATATGTCTGGTCAACGACTTTATATCACCCTGGGGCGATGATTTTGAACTTTGAAATTATTTAAGGCTGTTTCATTACCAATGGAATTTCCATAAATCAGACAGGACCATGGCAATATTCCATGAAAGGGAGAGTTTGGAGTGTCTAAGGATGAACTGCAGTTATTGTTATATTGTTATATATCTTCTAATAAACGTAATAAGCATTTTATTTTTAAGAGTTATGTTTCTTGCTATAAGCACAAGTTCAAAGACGTTGGAACCCACCTCTAATAGATTTTACTATCAATTAAAAGTTAGCGTGGATGGAAATTGGAAGGAGAATACTTGTTGGTCTTGAACGGCTAGCTTTGTTCGGTACTCAATATCTGCTTGTCTAGGAGGGTCTGTGCATGGAGTCGGATGGAATGATATTCTCATAATAACTTGAACTTTACGGAATACTTATATATACACGTTGTCTTAAGTTATACAGCGATATTCTGTACTTTTAGAATCTGATTCGGGAGTGGTAGTGCTGAAACTTTAATTCATTCTTCTCATTTTGATTTGTATTCTAATCAAACCAAGCCTGCAGAGATTATATGCATAAATATTGGATCTATCAAATTCATTATTTTCGTCATGATCCAAACTTTTGTATCGATTGGAATGCTTTTTATGTGGTCGATAATCATTAGAATGTTGTGAAATTATGGATCTAAATGATGAGGTGAAGTCTCCTTTGTTCAAAGATATTATGAAGTTTGATTTTCAACATTAGTATACAGGTGAATTAGTCCCTTTATACCGAAAAAATTTAAAATATGTCCATTATAAACGTTTATGGTATATCAAATAAAAAACCTTCTTGGAAATTTATTCCTTTTAATATCATATAACAAATTATATTTTGGTATGAGCAAATTACACACAACTAATTCTTTCCTTTTCTTTAATTCCACTGAGTTAAACATAGCGCCCCTTTCAAACTCTGTTGGCCTGATTGCTATTCATCAGAATGAATTGTCATTTGTAAAGGCTAAACTTGTATTGCAAGATATTTATCAAACCATATTCCTTTGATCTGACAGGAACATATTTTGAATGCAACTTATTGAAGAGAAAAGTACACATAATTGTAGTAATATTTATTCCCTATAATCATGAGAAGTTAATAATTTTTCATATGCTTGGCTAGAAAGTGGCATAAGCAAGGATTCCAGGTTGTTGTTCAAGTTTGGCCATTTCTTCTTTGGTCAATGATATCCATGCTTCTATACCTTCACCATCACTTGTATCCAGAAAACAGGCAATCCTGTTAACCCTCAAACCACCTACAACCCAAATGGGTTTTCCGAATCCAAAATCAGTTTCATAAAATGGAAATCTGCACCAACTGGTGAAATAGAACACCCCTATTTTTGGATTCTTTTCATATTCTTCATATGATTTCTCCATAAATTTATTAAAGCATTCACCACTTGTGTATATCTTTCTTATATACTCATCATCTATCTCGTTTATTGACTCGTGGATTTTCCTGGATAGACGACTGCGGTTTTCGATCTTCTCGTTGTGTGATCTTGCATTTGTGACGAAACAAATACTACCAATACATTGTTCTGGGAGTGGGGGATTCATTCTCTTCCTCATATTCACAGCAATGGATGCCTCAAGTATCTGAGAAGTTCGATCGTTTTCAGCCGTTGCAGTTATCAAGGCTTCCCAAATAAGGGCGGTCACAGCCTCAACACGCGTTGGACGAAACAAGTTCAGTCCATCTGATCCCATTTCATTTCTTAGATCAGCAATCTTAGAGCCATCAAACAAAAGCCTCTTTGTAACAACTTCATCTTCAGATGATTCCACATTATTGTATTCCTCTAAAAGGCTCATAACCCTGTAATAGAATGATAAATCTTGCGGAGGGAAGTGAGAGCTACAATCATAAATCACGCCCTCAATGTTGTCAGCTCCAAAAGCAACTGCAGCCCAGGCTTTTAGAAAGTGGGCTGCAGCTGATGTATCAGCTATAACATGACTAATACAAACACCAATTGCCATGCCACCACAAGCAAAATAGTTGACTTGAGCAGCAAGTATAACCTGATCAGTAATTGATTGAGATTGATGAGGTAAATGTTCGAGCGGATTACACGGTAACAGCAGTTGTAGAACTTCAATCTCTGGATCTTCAAGCACAAACGACAAGTCACAGGCCACCTGAGCTTCAATAAAAGTGGCACCATCGTCATTACAATCGATGGTCAAGTGATCATCCTTGATCCTACCAGCAAGAGGGTAAAACTGGGTTAAGGATTTGGATAGGGACTTTTTGAGGTGATCAGAATTCATTCCAGGATTTCCATCTCTAGCCGAGTAAAAGAGAGTAATGGGGACGTAAATAGGAGAGGCTAACTGATCAAAAAGACCAAGCTTATAGGTTCTTAAGTGCTCTGGAGTTGGAGAAGAAGGTTTGATGGTTTCTCTACTCATAATTTGGACTTCCATCTCTATGATTAATCCTTAGCTTAAGGCTTAAGGCTTAAGGCTTAGGCTTGTAGTTTATACAAGGCAACCCAAAATGAAGTTCAATTATATATATAGGCTCACTACATTAAAAGTCCTTTTAACCGGTATTTTATTAAGTGGCAGTAAAAACCCAAAAAACTTTCGTTATTAGCAAATGTATTGGCTCCAAGAGATTTTATTAATTAAAGATAAAGTAGATGGCAATTGTTAGTGGAATCCTGGTTAGTATTGGATGTGTGGCTTTATTCGGGTTCAACCTGCGCTTGGCTAGGAGGGTTTGTGCATGAGTTGGATAGACCGATATTCTCAAATCGATCTCACCTTTGGGTTGGGAACCATTCTTTAGTTTTGGAATCTGATTCGATAAAGGTATATGTTATAGAAACTTTACGTGAACCTACTCATTTTGGTTAGTATTCTAATCCAATCAAAGCATGTAAGGGTTAAATGCACTTAGATGGATTTATCATATTTATCATTTTATCTGTGAAGTTTTGTGCTGATTGGATCTTTTTTATGCAAATCAACTATCATTAGATTACAATAACATCATGAATCTGAATGATGGCTGATCGAATTTGAACCTCAATCTAGATGGTTCATGCAGCAATATTTAAAAAATAACATTTAACGTGATTAAAATTCAAATCTTAACATTTTCAATTTTTTTTCATCCTCAAACAGCTTTTTAGGAGAAAAAAAAAATCACTTCCATATAGAAACATTATTGCTGTCTAAATCTTACTAAATGAGTCCCAAAGAATGGGCCACCTTAGTTTAGTCTCAATTGACACCATGGTTCTAGTAATCTTTTATTCCCTGTAAACATGAGAAGTGCAGAAGCTTGACTTGAAACTAGAATAAGTAATGATTCCAGATTGTTGTTCAAGTTTAGTCATTTCTTCTTTGCTCAATGTTATCCATGCTTCTATTCCTTCACCATCACATGTATCCAGAAACATCGCATTCCTGTTAACCCTCAAACCACCTTCAAACCATATGGGTTTTCCAAAGCCAAAATCAGTTTCATAAAATGGAAATCTGCACCAACTAGTGAAATAGAAAACCCCAAATTTTGGATTCTTTTCAAATTCTTCACATACTTTCTCCATTAAATTATCAAGCCATTCACCAGTACCCATGTAGGTCTTTCTTATACAGTCATGATCTATCTCTTTTATAGTCTCACGAATTTTCTTTGCCAGACTGCTACGGTTTTTGATCTCCTCATCCAATGAACTTACCATAGCAGAGAAACTAACATTACCGATATATCGTTGTGGGAGTGGGGGATTTATTCTGTTTCTCAAACTCACAGGTATAGCTACCACAAGTATCGGAGAAGTTCCATCAATTTCAGTAGTTGCAGCTATCAGGGCTTCCCAAATAAGCGCACTCACTGCCTCAACTCGGGTTGGTCGATACATGTTCAGTTCATCTACCATTTCATTTCTTAGAGCAGCAATCTTAGAGCCATCAAATACAAACCTCTTTGTAACAAGTTTATCTTCAGGTAATTCCATATGAATTTTTTCATCTATAGGGCTCAAAACCCTGTAAAAGTTTGATAAATCTTGTGGAGGGAAGATAGTGCTACAATCAGAAATCACACCCTCAATAATGTTGTTGATATCAGATCCGCAACCAACTGCAGCCCAGGCTTTTAGAAAGTTGGTTGCAGCTGATGCATCAGCTATAACATGACTGATACAAATACCAATCGAGATGCCATCACAAGCAAAATAGTTGAGTTGAACAGCAAGCATTACCTGATCAGTGCTTGATTGAGTTTGATGAAGTAAATTTTGACGTGGATTACAAGGTAATAGCTGTTGCAGAACTTCAATCTTTGGATCTTCAAGCACAAACGAGAGGTCACAACCCAGCTGAGCTTCAATAAAAGTGGCACCATCATCATTACAATCAATGGTTAAGTCATCTTTGACCCTACCAGCAAATGGGTAAAAGAGGGTCAAGGCTTTGGACAGGGAGTTTTTGAGGTGATCAGATTTGATTCCAGGATTTTCATGATCTGTAGCAGAGTAGAAGAGAATAATGGGGATGTAAAAAGGAGAAGCTAACTGATCAAAAAGACAAAGCTTATAGGTTCTTAAGTGGTGTGGAGTTGGGGAAGAAGGTTTGATGGTTTCTCTGCTCATAATTTGGACTTCCATATCTCTATTAAATTATCCTTACCTTCAGGCTTGTGGTTTATATACAAGAAATGTGGTTTAAGGCCCCATTTGGATATGCATTTAGCAATGGTGCGGTGACAAATTTATTACTTTTTTGCTTTCATTCGCGTTGCAGTAATACTGAAGCAAAAACTTCAACTGGAGGTGGAAGGCTCCAGTGAAAAATCTCATCTCCCCGCCGCAATTTCTTTCCATTTATGTCCTCTGTTTTTTTTTTTTTTTTCCCTTAAAATTATATTTGAGAAATACAAATGTCTTGTTATTTAGTCTTATTATTTATTTTTTATTTTAAAAGTTTTAATAAATTTATTAATTTAATATAACAAATACATTTTTATAATTATATAATAAAATAATTAATAAATAAATAACTAAGAATTAAATTAATACATAAATAAATAATATATTCTATTTTTATTAATTTTTAACTATTTATTTGATATATTATTAAATATTAAATAATTTAAAATTTTATTATATTTAAATTTTAATTTAATATTCTTAATTATTTTTTTTACTATACTCTACCCCATTATCACTGTTATTTTTCAACTATATATATTTTATCATTAATTTTAATTTTATTTTAATAATAATTAATTTTTTTTTGTTATTTTTAATCTCACATAATTATTATAAAGTTCCATTTGGAAGTCATCGCAGTTTCGTTTCAACGTAATTGGTTTCCCTTTTTGGTGCAAATTGCACTGTCCAGGTGTTTGGATAAAACAAATGAGGTACAGCCTCCGTTCATTCACTGGAGGTAAGAGCCCCTTTTCATTCACTGCAGCTTCAATTGAGATTCAATTGTGGTTTTTATTCCTATTTAGCCCATCATTTTTTTTTTCTTTTTGCCCTTAATGTTTTAAGGATTTTCATGTCATTTGACCTTTATTTTTTTAATTTGATTTTATATTTATAAATTATAAAATAATTTTATTAATTTAATATAAATAAAATTTAGTATTATATGATAAAAAAAATTTATTATTATATAATAAATAATATGTATTATTGTTTTGATTGAATTAAAATTTTAAAATTTTTTAATATTATAAATAATATTAAAATATATAAAAATAATATATCATTAAAATTTTAAAATAAAATTTTTAATAATAATTTTTTATTCTCATTTTATTATCACTATTATTTTATTATTTAAATATATATTTCATCATTAATTTTAATTTTATTATTATAATATTTAATTTCATTTTTATTATAATTAATCTTATTTTTATTATTGTTTTTAATATTATGGGAATCAATATTGGTGCATCCAAATAGCCCTATATCCGCTGTGGAACAATTTCTCTGTACACTTTTCTTGGAGAAAACATCTTGGAATATAAAATTTTTTTATGGTAAAATAATAATAATAATAATAATAATAATAAAAAAAAAAAAAAAATATTGTGCAAATTGTTACAACCTGCTTCAAACAGTGGGCAAGACCAATGTTTTTCAAATACCGGTCTCTGGTTTCGCCAATAGGTCCAAATTTTGGTTCAGAGGTCTTTTTGTCATTTTCATTTTCTTGAAATTGAACCAATTCCACTTATAATTATAAGACTTCGACGAATCTCAAAGTTCGACGGCCCTCTCCTTTTTAACTAAGACAAGTCCTCGTTGGCAGCAAGGTTCGAACTTTCAATAGCAAAAAATTACATCAATATTTTTTGCAGTATTTATGGAGATAAAATATTGCCTCTTAGCCCATTGAGTTACAACATTCCGTGAAAGGCAGTCCTACAGCACACAGCGAAATATTGAAGTGTGTACTTATAATAAGAGGTATGAATCAACATAATTTAAATTCGAGTTTAAATTTAAGATTCAAAATTTGATTCGAATTAGATAGAATTTAATTTTTTTAATTCGAAATAAAAATTAAATTATTTAAATTTATTTAATTAAGTTTAATTAATATATAAAAATAAATTTAAATTTTATATTTGATAAAATTTTAATTATTTATATTTGAAGTTTACTTCGAATTTGAGATATTTTATTAATTAAAATAATTAAAATATAATAAAATTTAAAAATTTGATTAGGATAACGAATTATTCGAGTAAAAAATAAAAATGTTATAACTCGACTTGATCGATAATAATCGAACAGAATTCAAATTTTATACGAGTTGAATTCGAGTAATTTACAAGTATTAATATATTATTTATATATCTACTTATAGCTAAGTATGTTCAAAGGCCATATTATTTATCTAGGCTCAAAATTTATTTAAATTTTGAAAAGATTTTAATAAAAAATTGAAGTTGTTAAATATTTTTGTACATAATTTTTAAATTCATTTAAATTTTAAATCAAATTTTAAACAAAAATATTAAAACTCAAGCCCAATATGATTTAATATGAATAAAATATATAATTAAAATATTATAATTATATAAATATTTATAAGTACATTTTTATTTAAATATTTTATTTTTTAAAAAACTTTTATTTTATTATATAAATTAAATTTAATGATTATGATTGTAATTTATTTTTTCAATTTGAATCAAGTTACAAAAAATAAAAAATCTAAAATAGCATATCAAATTAAATCAAAGCAACTATATAAAATATTAATAAAAAAAATGAGTCCAACTCAAATCTACTTACCCATAAACACCTAGTGATAATCCATTGAATTGACCTCAAAATGTGGCTTAATTGATTTAATCCAAGAGTTCACTCAAAAGGAGTGGCGTTTAGGACCCCAAAACCATTAAGAATTAGCCCAAACGATAAAAACAAAAAATAAAAGAGAAAAAGGAGTAAAATAAAATAAAATATCGAGAGAGGAAGAAGAAGCAAAACAAATCGAAAACCAATTTCCTAAGGAAAAAGGAAGAAATGGGGAGAGAGGTATCAGAAAGCTGCATCGATAGCCTACTAACCGAAATGGTTTCGACATATTGCAACCGTTTCTACGCCAATAAGCCTGAGCTCGCCGCCCGTCGGATCGAAGCCATTGGATATCAGGTCGGCCACCAGCTCTCTGAACGGTAAACCCCTTCCACATCTTTTCAAAACCCATATTCCCCTTTTTTGGTTAATATTAGTGGATTTGTGAATCTGAAGAGCTCTTTTGAGTTCTATTTTGATAATGAAATTTTTTTTAGCGTGAATTTTAGTTTGAAGTTACTATGTTTCTTAATGTCTGTTTTTTGGATCTGGGGGAGTGAAAAAAATGCCTATTAGTTGAAATTGAGTTAAATTGAGTCGAATTCAAAAACCCAAGTCTAGATTTTGGATCTTTATTCTATTATAGATAATGGCAAATTGGGTGTAGTTTATGATGTGGGAAAAAGAATGATAATAATCTTCTTTTTCTGCTAGTAAAACTTTTATGATCAAGTAATGTTCTAAACATGCGTGAATTTGAAGTTTTGATTGTTCGATGCTAATTGATGCAATGGCTTGGCTTTTGTAATTATTGGTATTGCTTGGAATTGTTGTTATGGTTCTATTAGTACTTCCATTTTCACCTTGAGTAATGCAAGTTAATACTATGGAGAACAAAAGCTGAAATCATTTGATTTGGAGTCTTGATGAGCGTTTGAAATTCTATGCATTTGTTTCTATTAAACTCAAAAATATCGTCATCTTAAGTTAGTTAGAATAAGAATATTGGTCGATGTCTTCGATTGGGATTTTTTTCAACTTTTGTCTTACGTAATGAGGTCTTTACATTTGGTGCCATACGTTGCACTGGACACCAAATTTTGATATAGAATAGGGCCTTTGAAAATTTTAACAGTACTTAATTATTTGGTAAAATTTTTTATTTCTTGGGGCTTGATTAATTACATAAGTTATGGCTTGTAAATAATGGATTGTTCCTGATATTTACTCTTTAGCAAGGTGAAGATGCTACTTGTTGTAATAACAAAGTTTAGTCATTGCCAGGTACACAATGGAGAGGCCACGCTTTAGTGATCATTTGGAGGCAATAAAGTTCATCTGCAAGGATTTTTGGTCTGAACTCTTTAAGAAGCAGATAGACAACTTGAAGACAAATCATAGAGTATGTGTAGGAACTGAAAGTGACCGAAAATGGTTGTGACGATGAAATTTTATGAAACGGTTTATACTTGTCTTGTAGGGTACCTTTGTATTGCAAGACAATCATTTTCGCTGGCTTACACGCATGTCAATTGATCAATCACCTGAAAATGGAGCATCCGAGGAGCCTTCTATCATGGCTGACAACAAGGCTGTGCAAAGCATGCATCTCTATTTTCCATGTGGAATCATCAGGGGAGCCCTTTCAAACTTGGGGATACCTTGTGCCGTTTCTGCTGACATATCCAACCTTCCTGCATGTGAGTGACCTGCTTAATGATTGCTATATAAATTTTTTTATCCTTTTCTAAACATTTATTAACCATTTTCTAGACACTCAAATTATAAGTGATTTTGTGTCAGTTAAGGTTAACCTGCTAATTTAGGAACTATAGCCAGTATTAATACATGAAGCAAATTAGTTTTTGGTTCCTGTATTTATAAACTTAAGTAACCATACGTGGCTTTCTACTGCAGAAATTAGAAAAAGGTTGAGGTAATGATGTTAGAAACCTCATGTTAATAGCATTCACATTCACTTCGTTTGACGACTCTTTGTGTTTGGATACAACATTGGTTTTTTGCTTCTGTTTGTTGATACTTGATCAATGATGATAACATGTTTCCCGAAAAAGTTTAAACATAATGTCAGATATTTGAACAGATATAACCGTTCCTAGTTATTTGTTAGAAAAAGGTTGAGGTAATGATGTTAGATACCTCATGTTAATAGCATTCACATTTACTTCGTTTGACGACTCTTTGGGTTTGAATACAACATTGGTTTTTTGCTTCTGTTTGTTGATACTTGATCAATGATGATAACATGTTTCCCGAAAAAGTTTAAACATAATGTCAGATATTTGAACAGATATAACCGTTCCTAGTTATTTGTTTAGTTTTAATTCATGAAACATATAAACTTGTTGAGACTTCTATTTGTGCTTTTACTCCAGGTTCATTTGTGGTCCGAATAAAGGCTTGATGAGCATATTACCAGAAATGGGGCACCAATTATTGGGGCTAGTTTAAAAGAAAATATCTTCTACTTCTGCATGATAACAACTCAGTTTGAGAACTACCATAGTCCCATTCAGAATATCAGAAGTGGTACAAGAAATAGTTTTGAAGAAACTTATGTGACAAATCGACTTGGAACTTTTGTGTGTGGATATTGTTAAACCTTCGTCGTTGATAAGATTGCTTTGTTGAATTCTTTTCTGCGCATTTAACTTTGACATTGAACAATGCCCTTCACGTGTTGAACTGACATTTTATTGAACAATGGTTTTGAAGAACAATGCCCTTTTTTAATCTGCAGCTGCTTTTGTTAAAAAAATAAATAAATATTCATCATGTTAATTTGGATAATTTTTAAACTCGTAAAATTTTAAACATAAGATTGCTGTGTTGAATGCCCAGCTTGCCACGAAGAAGGAAGAAACGCTCCTTACCCAAAGATTTGGTGAAAATATCAGCAATTTGGTGTTGGATAGGGATGGGAAGAGGTTGGAGTGTTGAAGCTTCTCTAGACCAATGTGACGATCAATATTTTGTTCTCTCGTGGAAGAAGGGTTAGCAGCAATATGAAGCGCAGTATGATTATGACAATACAGTGGAGAAGTGGAGTAGGCGAAGAAAAAGTAACACCAAGATCTGCTAATAAGGAACGCAACCAAATAATTTCACATTGGTGATGGCGCGATATTCGGCTTCAGCAGATGATCCAGAAATTGTAAACAGCTTCTCACTCTTCCAAAAATCAAACTAGATCCAAGGAACACACAAAAACCTGTTGTTGTGTGGTTGAACGCCGAGGACAACTAACAGGGGTGGACACAGGGCAAAGCATGGGCCACGGCTTCCTAAAAAATTTTCATCCCCCTTGTTGAACAGTGACCGAGCCCACCATTTTAGAATTGATAAATGCATCCCAATTTTCTCTTCACATTCAGTTTTTTTTTTTTTTTAGTAAGTAAAATTATTGAATTACATTTTTTTCACACAAAATTTTAAAAATGAATTTTCAAAAAATTTTAAACTTTTCTGAATATAAATTTTTAAAAAGTTATATAACTTTTCATAAGTATATTTTCAAAAACTTTCAAAATTTTTGAACATTTATGTATGAAAGTTTTTAAAGATTTTTGGATATTTATTTTTAAAAATCTTAGGTTTTTTAAAGTTTTTAAAGATTTCAGACATTCATTTTTTTTAAATTTTAAGATTTTTTAAAAATTTATTTTCGAAAAATTTTTAAACTTTTTAAAATTTTTTTAAAAATTTTGAATTACATCAAAATATTTTAACATAAAATCTTAAGAAATTAAATATAAAATGAAACGAAAAATAAAAACACAAATGATTTATCTTTAATTTTATTTTTTTTACTTTAAATGAGTGAAATTTATTTTGAATTTAGTTTGATGGGGCTTAAAATCTTTTAAAATTTTTTGTTAGAAAGAGAAATAAGAGATAAAGTCTAAGAGAAAGGGAGATGAAATGTTTGAATTTTTTTATAAATTTATATTTTAAATATGACGTGTATTAAGTAAAAAGTAATTAAATAGCTTTACTTACAAAAAATAAAAAATAAAAAAGTGCGGTATGAACAGAAAAAGCTTAAATGCATTTAGCAGGACTCAGCATTTTGTTACCTTAGCCCTTTTCTCTAATGAAATTATTCTTCTACCCCTTTACTAAATTCCTAACTTCATCCTTGACATCTAATCCAATCAAAATTACAATAGACACAAAAGAAAAAAAAAAGAAAGGACGAAAATTTTTGTTATTGTGTCTAAAGATGATAAATATATTTTTAATTAAATTTTAATTAATATATATTTAAATTATTTTTATTTTTAATTACTTTTTATGATAATTTAAAATCATTAAATTTCAATTGTTGAATTAATTATAATTGCATTATTAACATTTGAATAAAATAATAAAAACCTTTAAATAGTGGGTAAATTTTTTTCAAAATAATAATAATAAAAAAAATGTCTTCTACTTAAAGGAAAAAAAAAAGCCATTGATGGGCTTAGATGGCCTAAACTTTCGTAAGAGCCCAGCCCACTCTATCTCTTTGTTCTTTTTTTTTTTTTTGGATAATTAGAACTCGTATATTGGATAATTACTTTTTGCAAACAGTTTCTTCATCGCCGACACTCTCAAGTTTACCCTATTGATTTTGACTCAAGTTTGATCATCTCCTCCAAAAATTTTAAATCTATTTCTCTCTCTAAAAAAAAAAAAAAAACAAGGAAAGAATTTTCATTTTTCTCTCTCTCTTTTTTTTTTTTATATTTATTTTCTCTTTGTAAGGTTAGGGTTGTGTATATAGGGTTTAAGGTGTGGGAGTTTGGTTTGAGTTGCGTGATGAGGAAGTCAACTGATTTGGAACTCATGGAATTAAGCAAAATCAATTTGCGAAGAACTTTGGATGAGATTCAAGAGCGCGCTTCTTCGGTTCTTTTACTGAATCTTCAATGGAAAGATATGGAAAACGTTTTAGATTCCGCTCAGAATTCAGTTGAAGAACGATTCAAAGAAGTAAACTTGAGAGAAGAAGAGTTGAAAGAACGTGCTATCAAGCTCGAAAAGGAGATTGAAAGAAGAGAGAAATTGGTTAAAGATCAGTTTGAAGAGCTTAGGATTAAAGAGGAGGAATTAGGGAGGCAATTTAGGGATTTGGAGTTGGGAAAGAAATGTTACGAAGAAAAGTTAAGAGAAATTGAGTTAAAGAAGAAGCAAGTCGAAGTGCTTAAATTGAAAGAAGAGGAATTTGGGTTGAAGGAGAAGAGTTTTGAGAAGCGTTGTAGAGATTTAGAACTGGAGAAGATGCATCTTGAACGGCGCCGTAATGATCTTGAATTTAATGTAAAACAATGTGAGCAGCAGTTTAGGCAATGTGAGCAGCAATGTAAGGAGGTTAAGTTGATGGAGAAATTGGTAAAAGATAAGTTGGAGGAAGTTGGGTTGAAAGAGAAGGATTTGGAGAAGTGTTTGAGGGAACATGAGTTGAAAGAGAAGAGTTTTGAGTTGGAAGGAAAGGGTCTTGAAGAACGTTGTAAAGAACTTGAATTCAATGAAAAGCAGTGTGTGCAGAAGTATAAAGAGCTTGAAGTCATGGAGAAATTGGTGAAAGAGCAGTTGGAAGTTACTAAAAGGAAAGAGGAGGAAGTTGGTCTGAAAGAGAAGGATTTGGAGAAATGTTTGAGAGAGCATGAGTTGAAAGAGGAGCAGTTTAGGTTGATAGAGAAGAGTTTTGAGTTGGAAGGAAAGGGTCTTGAAGAACGTTGTAAAGAACTTGAATTCAATGAAAAGCAGTGTCTGCAGAAGTATCAAGAGGTTGAAGTCATGGAGAAATTGGTGAAAGATCAGTTGGAAGTTGCTAAAAGGAATGAGGAGGAATTTGGATGGAAAAAGAGGCATTTTGAGAAGTGTTGTAGAGAGTTTGAGTTGAAACAGGAGCAATTTGGGTTAAAAGAGAAGAGTTTTGGGAAGCGTTGTATGGAGTTTGAGTTGGAAGAAAAGGCTTTTGAAGAACGACGTAAAGAGCATGAATCTAATGTAAAACAATACGAGGAGGAATACAAGAAGGCTAAAGTGACAGAGAAGTGGTTGCAAAAGCAGTTGGAGGAGGTTAAAAGGAAAGAGGAGGAATTTGGGCTGAAAGAGAAGGATTTTGGACAACGTTGTAGAGATGTTGAGTTGTCAGAGAGTTGTCTTCAGAATGGTCTTCAAGATCTTGAATCAAAATCTAAGCAATGTGAGGGGACATTTAGAGAGCTTAAGTTAAAGGAGAAATTGATAAAAAATCAGTTTGACGAGCTTAAGGAGAAAGAAGAGCAATTTGAATTAAAAAAGAATCATTTTGAGCAGTGTTCTAGAGATTTTAAGATGAAAGAGAGGTCTCTTGAAAAGAGTCAACAAGATCTTCAAGCAAAACAGAAGCATTATGAAGAATGCTTGAGAGAAATCAGATTGAAAGAGAAGCAAATAGAAGAATCAACTGAGCAACTGAGGAGAAAATATGAATTACAGTTCAAAGATCTTGAATTCAAAATTAAGCAATACGATCAGAGATTCACGGAGCTGAAGCTTAAGGAGAAATTGGCTAAAGACCAGTTTGAAGAGCTTGAAACCAAAGGGGAGCGGCTTGGGTTGAAAGAGAGGCATTTTGAGTTGAAAGAAAAATGTATTGAGCAACGTTATCAAGAGCTTGAAGCAAAAGAGAAGCATTATGATAAATGCTTGAGAGAAATCAAATTGAAAGAGAAGCAAATAGAAGAATCATCTGAGCAACTCAGGAGAACATATAAATTACAGTGCAAAGATCTTGAATTCAAAGTTAAGCAATATGATCAGAGATTCACGGAGCTGAAGCTTAAGGAGGAATCGGTTAAAGATCAATTTGAAGAGCTTGAAACCAAAGGGCAGCGGCTTGAGTTGAAAGAGAGGCATTTTGAGCAGTGTTCGAAAGATTTTAAGTTGAAAGAAAAATGTCTTGATCAACGTTATCAAGAGCTTGAAGCAAAAGAGAAGAACTATGATGAATGTTTGAGAAAAGTCAAACTAAGAGAAAGGGAGATTGAAGAATTATCTGCAGAACATAGGAGAAAGTATGAGCAACAGTCCAAAGATCTTGAGTTCAATGTTAAAAAGTGTGAGCAGCGGTTCATAGATCTTGAATTGAAGGAGAAGAAACTTGAAGAATGGTCTAAAGAACTTGAAACGAGGAGGAGGCTTACTTCTGCTCTGCATCCTCAAGTGGAAACCGAACCAGCAGATAGTTTCCCGGTTAAATTTTCCATAGATCATTCTTCACCAGCGCATCTTCAGTTTTGCGTAAATATGGATGGAAAGGATTTGCAGATGTTCCTAAATGAGCGCTGGAAAGAGCATGGTTCAATAGGTACTGAAGTTGCTATGGCTCTTAAACTTTCATCAGACCCTGCAAAGCTTGTCTTGGATGCAATGGAGGGGTTTTACCCTCCACATTTTAGTAAGGGAGACAGAGAGTTTGAAGGGGATGCTGTCAAAAGAAGTTGCATTCTCCTGTTACAGCAATTGATGAAACTTTCACCTGAAGTTAAACCTCACGTTAGAAAAGAAGCTATGAAGCTTGCCTTTGATTGGATAACAAAAATGAGGGTAGAACCTGGCCATACATTGGAGGTTTTGGGATTCCTGCAGCTTTTAGCCTCTTTCAGATTGGCAGAAGCTTTTGATGCTGATGAGCTTGTCAATTTTTTGGTGTTTGTTGCTCAACATATTCAAACTCCTGAATTATTCAAGGTTCTTGGTTTGGGAGATAAGGTCACTGGTAAAGTCTATAAAACCCTTTGGCTTCTCTTATCTACAAGTATATCTAATAGTACATGTTCTCTTCTTTTATAATCAGCATGTATTTGCTTGACCTCCATTTGAGTATTACAACTTTATTATGGTGGTCCATTGCTGATGTTATGCTTGAAATCAGAACAAAAGATACATAGAAGAGTTTAATCGGTAGAATAAAATGAAAAATAATGATCAGTCTTTTGGTACATTCTCAATAAATCTGAGGCCTTGATCCTGAAGTGAACTTTAGCTGTAGTTATATTGCTTGTTTATATGGGGAGGTCTGATGGATTTGTAACTTCAATTACTTTTATGACAGGTTTCATAAGAAAACTTGTTGAAAGGAAACAGCATATGGAGGCAATTAGATTTATTTATGCATTGGAACAGGTTAACGAGTTCCCACCTGTACCTGTATTGAAAGATTACTTGAATCATTCTAAGGCTGAAGCTACAAGAATTTTCAAAAAGGGAAAAAGAACCCCTGAAGCACAGGTGTGTCTGCCTTGTTATCTTTCTATTTAAATGCCTACTAGCTCATTTAACATTAAGCCATCTGACATGTGTAAAATTAACCAACAGAAGGAGGCAAACACCAAAAGAATAGCTGATCTGAGGGCTGTTGTCAAATGCATTGAAGATCATAAGCTTCAATCCGTATACCTACCTCAGAACCTTAAGAACCTTAATAATTTAATTGCCTCTCTTGAAAAAGTAAATGCAAGCAGAAGTCTTACCTCCTCAAATGCTAATTCTGCCCTTTGCACTGCTCGTGAGATCCCATCACAAAAACAGGTCAGTATTAAGCGATCACGAGAATCCATAGGCAAAGAAATTGCTGGAGATGCCTCTCTTGGTGCAACCACTGTTTCCTCAATGAAAATACCTTCTAAGCATCTGAAAGGGTCAAAACAAGGTAAGCATTCTTGAGAATGTTAGACGCTCACTCTGTTTTTTCATAGGTTCCTACCTAGTCCTTGTCATTTGTTGATTTAAGGACTAGATAACTACATTCATGTGTAAGTATTTCTATTTGTGGTGCTATTAGTGGTTGTAGTTTATGCCAACAAATGACTATACTTACACTATGTTTATGGTATTTGTTGATTATTGTTCACGAAGCCCTTAATTTCATCCATTTTTTCGCCTTCACTCTTGAGGAACAGATACTAATCCCAAGTTTAGTGATAGTGGTTAGATTTTTTTTTTTTTGGGCAAATAGTGGTTAGATTCATTAGCAAACATACTGATTTCAGCAAAACAAGGGCACATTTTGACATCAAGGCTTATTTATTTCAGCGAACTATGTTAGTCTTGTGTCCTTGATGATTGTTCCTAATCCTTACACTTCGTTCTATTTTCAACTTTCTTGTTTGAAGTCTTGTTAGTTGCTATTGAGTGGAGGAAGGTGTGCTCTTTCTTAAATGGGCTTCATGATATAGTTACTTCTGTACTAGTAATTAAAGAATTTTTTGAAGTAGTATCACTTGTGTTTTTGTTCGTTGTTTAGTTACTTAAAACAGTTAATGACAAATTATGTTGCCATCAGTTTTCTCTTGCCTTTTCTTTTTCTTTAAATATGAATCTCTCTTACCTATTGAGATCTCGTATTTTCGTTTTCATAGCCATTACTTCCTTTAGATCATAACTACCCCAAAGTTACATTAGTTAAGGCATGCTCCTAGGCTCTAAGGTACAGTACAATTCAGCAAAAGTGCATTACACCCATCTAGTGAGCACATTTACTAAGGTGCATGTGTCACGGTCCTTGAGAGCAACCATGAATCTCATATCCGCTGTATGCTAGTGTTGTTGTGAGGCGTCTTTTGTGAAACAAAACTGTGAGCCTAAGGGTAGGGGAGCCAAAGTAAACAATATCTCTCAAGGGTGTGAATCGTAATAATTAAATTGATTTGAAATGCCAGATGAGTTCATGCTTGGGTCTTGGAGCCACACGAGCCTCGAGGGTGAGTCTTAACCTGTGACAAAGTGGTATTAGATCGCACCGAGAACGGTGGGCCTTGGCTGTGTGCTAGAGTTGGTTATGGGATATAAGGGTTCACACTATTTTTTCCTTGTGAGACACTTTTTGTGGGACAAAACCGTGATGCCAAGGAGGGTCAAAGTGGACAATACCTCACAAGGATATGAACTGTGATAATTAGATTGATCTGAGACGTTGGATGAGTCCATGCCTAAATTTTGGAGCCGCATGAGCTTGGAGGTCGAGTCTTGGCCCGTGACACATGTAACTAGGTGAGTGCCTTAAAGGTAAAAGTTTAGGAAACGAGGTTCACCTGACTTGACAGGTTTCTTCATTTTTATGAGTTGTATTTTCAATTGACAAAAGAAGTGAATATACATCCAGCTTTTACATGAATAAAAAAGGTAATATTTTTCATTTGATTACTTCTTTCTGGATATGTAAGTTAAGGAAACTCAGAGATTGAGATAATGATGACTTTTTAGTTTGTCATGATAATTCTGGATTGTTGTACTAAATCAGGCAAAGAGTTTTAGAGTTTATAAATTTTTATTTTCAAGGTGTAGGAAGGACATTTGCTTTTTCTAGACTGAAAGTGAACCTGCCACGAAGCTTTTTGGTTATAATTTACTATTTTGAGTTGCAAAGTCTCCTTTTATTTCCTTATTATTTTTTTTCGGAAAGTAATGAAAGATCATGGCTATTCCCAGTGGGGAGAGTGGGGGGGAATAAAATTGAGGTTTATCTTTTTAAAGTGTTTAGTGAAAAAACTGTCCCTGGAATCCTTGTTGCTTCCATGGCAAGCAGTTTTTCTCTGGTAATAACAACTTATGATATTACATAGTTGCATCTTTATATTGTTAAATGTTTGTTACAGTTGTATAAAACTAGTTCTTCCTACCCTACACTGTTAATCTGAGTTGGTATCGAGGTTTTTCCCTCATTAACCTCCTTTGCAGCAATTTGCTGGAACTTAAATTTTGTGTTATACGTTGCAGAGTACAAGATTAATTCTAAATTGCCATCCAATTCCCTTGGAGTGCAGACGGATGAATCAAATGCCAAACAGTCGCAACAGCAAGACAGTGAGAAAAATGTGATGCCACCACCAGTGCCTCCGCTGTTTCTTCCCCACTTTTCCCTGCCCCAGCAGCCCCTGCCATAACATCCCCTGCTACCATACGCACACCTGAACCACAGGAGGAGAATGGAAGTAAGCGCCCTCGGACACCTACATCTCAAATGAATCATAATTTGGCCGGCTTTCCACTTACACATTCCCGTACAAACCCCAATCGGAAGAGTGTTGCAGATTATTATTCTTGGGATGCTCTTGCTAGACCTGGTGATCACAGTAGGTAGTTAGCCCAGAGAATGCAGTAGACCAACCTAGCCAAAGCCTTTTAGTGGCTCTAATTGACGACCTTAATTCAATTTGTTTACCAAGTAATTGAAAGAAAAGATATTTGAGTAGTATTGCTTTTCAATTAAATTGAATTCAGCTTTTTCAGCATTTGTGAATATCTACACTTTTTGGAGTAAAACATAGTAGCAGGTGTCCCATGGAAACAAGAATCACCTACGAAGAATGGTGGCATCTAGAATTATCTTTCATTGTAAGGTGGATCAGACAAAAGTAGCCAGATCTTCAAGCATTGCCATGATTCAATGCTTGAACTTTTACATTTGTAAACGGCAAAATAATATGTTGGAACATTCTTTTTGGTGAGACAAATTACATGTTACTTTGGGTCCCTAAAACACATGGTATCCCTGCCAAGCTTTCATCAATTTTTACGATCATTGCCTTCCTCAGCTGGTAACTACTGCTAGACTTTTCATTTTTCTCATTTAAGTTGATCATGAGTAATTGTTTTGCCATGCCTCAAAATTAGTTCACAGTTCACATGCCTAAAAGCTTTGGGGCTGGCCATGAACTTCTCTATCTCATACAAGAAGCTTTGAGGCTGGGCCAGGCAATAGTCCCTTAGATTTTCTGATTTCCTAACGTGTCATTCGTGAAATACTCCGAAGATAAGGTTGATGGAAATTATTGTCCTTGAAGATAAGTTTTGATTCCAATTGACTTTAACTTTACGAAAGCATTTGGGAGCTTTTTGAAAAGCAATCCATTAATAACATGCTTACATAATTGTGTTCCCTAGGCTAGGTTTCAGTCCTTATCCTTTTTTGTTTTGTTTCAGATGAATGATTTTTCTTTACACGTGAAAAATTTATTATTCGGTCTTAATTTGTAAAAAAAAAAAAAATTTTTTTTAATAATTAAAAAAAAATAAAAAACTTTCTTGAGCAAACTTTTTTTTCTGTCACCAAGTTAATAACTTTGCTCTGTGTTTTATTTTTTATTAACAGTTGAGTGAACAAGCTCTAAACTAATTAAAAGAAAATGTTAAGTTGAACGTGCAAGAATCTGACTCCCCAATATATCACATTGTCAAAGTTCAAGAAATTATCAACTGATCAACATTACAATATCTTCTATTTAATTTTCACGAATTATTAATTCAGATGAAATATCCTACTCTATTGTTTTTTTTTTTAATTTGCTTCAACAATTTACTATTTTGCATTATTAAAGCACTTTAAAAATAATTTTTATTCTTTACATTTTTAAATTAATATTTTTCCTTTTAAATATTGTTAATTATTATTTATAGTAATAAGATTTTATTTAATTTATGAATAACTAGAAATATGTACACCCATTTGTGGGTGGAGGAAAAAATGTGAAAAAAATGTTTTGAGAGAGAAAAAAAAGGATAGTTTTTTAATGAACAGTATATGTAGGTTTTTTTAAGAAGTAAACAATTTCTTTTAAAAACATAATTTAAAAACTGAAAGACTAACATACACTTACTATTTTTTTATTATTACATAAATTTCTTTTTTGGTAATTTTTCCAATTGAATTGGGTGTTAGTTAAATCAAATTCAATAAAAAAATTTAAATATCGATATAGATACTTATATTTTCTTTATTTTTATCTTGAGAGATCAAAATTTATTCGTAAGTACTTTTTTTTTCTTTTTTATTTAATCTTGAGAAGCTAAACTTGCATTTGAAACATTAATATCTTAATTTGTTTATTTGTTCATTGGATTATTAAGCCATGCTGCCTTCAAGAATCGCTTAATATTTTTTTTTATCAACTCAATTAAATTATTTCTTAATTCCAATATGAGTCTCAATTTCATTTAAATGGTTTCATAATTTTAAGATAGATTTACATTTTAACAATAAAATTCTCAGACCAAGCTTGACTTGTATTAAAGAAAATCAAATATGTAAGGTAATTGATAAAGTTTTTCTTTTTTTTTTTCATTATATTAAGAATTTTAGCTAAAAATCTTACCTCCATTAATAACAGAAAATTGAGAACATTTCTCTTGAATTGTAGACGGTTACCATTAATTAGAAAAAAAAAATCTAGTAATACTGAAGTTGATCCAAAGACCAGTAGAATGGCTTTTTGCTTTGATCCAAAGCCCACCTAGTTTCCCTCTACCATCCACCGGCTTGACAGTTGAAATTCTCTAATCACGATTCACAATGGGGGACTATTACAATGATGATAAAAAATTATTTCAATCTCAGATCATCGAGGGAAAAAAACTAAATGATTTATATATAAGCCCTTAAATTACCATGATAAAAAATATTCGTCTTCAATGACTTGTTTCCAACATTACTAAACTTTGGCATCATGAAGTATCAAATCATGATTTTGAACAGTGGCACCAATAACATAAGGCCACCAGAAATTTCCAGAGTTAGCAAGTTTAAATTTATTTAAATGTATATCGATCACTTTAAAAAATAATGAACATATTTACTACTTTTTAAGTAGTGGAGTATCATTCCAATCACTTCTGAAGCTAAAAAATAAAGATGATGTTTCATGTATGTCTCGTAAATTTAAGATAAAACTCATAGGATCCAATCACTTTTCAAATCATATGTATCCTCTTTCGATTATAGAGATACTTTAACTTGCAAAAGATTGCAATTAAACAAGTGAGACTAAATTTGAATCGAATCGTTTTGAAGTTAATTTTATTTAAAAGAAGTTTAGTTTTAAATTTGATTTTTTTCACTTTGAAACTTGAATTATTTGAATTATATGGTTTATATCATTTTAAGTATTAATTCTTGAATTTTAAAAACAAGTTAATTGAATTTTGTGTCAAATATCATTCCAATTTGAATATTTTGAGTTTAAATTTAGATCGAGCAACTTCATATTGTTAAAAATGTTAAACTAATCCTCAATTTTTCAACTAAATATTTTGGGTTTTTCTTTATTTTCTGTCAAAATTTCACAGAAGATTTTCTTGAGAAACAAACAAAATAAAAACCAGCCTAAATCAAACAAGATTTTAACAAATACGTCCTTTTTGAGATTCAATGTGCATTGCAGTTATCTATATCAGCTCGCTTCAAAGTTCATGATCGTGACATCACATCAAAAGTAAGATTCTTGATATGCTCTTTTCTTTATCATGTGTTCAAGTGCCTATTATCATTTTCTGATTACAAATTTTGGAATTTTATGACGTTAACTACATACCTAGTTGATGTTCAATATCTCAACATATGAGGTATATATAGAACATGTTGTGCATCATAGAAAGTTCCTTAAAATTCAAGTCTTTAATTGCATGTAAGATTTGCATCATAGAATAAAAATTGACTTCACAACTGGAACTGCTCTGCGATTTTAGCACAGTTTCAGCTAAATTAGTTCTTGTTTTCTTGGAGAGTGATCATATGGCAGTTCAGTACGTAAAGAAAAGGGAAGGACACTAGAGGAGCTTGGTCGCATTGAAGTCATACTCAACTGTCTGAATCCCACTTGGATTGGGAAAATTAATGTTGCTTACCAGCTAGAGATTGTTCAACATTTGATGTAAACTTCTCATATTCTCTTAAGCGTCGATATCTTTTAGATATACTTTATTGAGATATACAGTAGTTTTGTGTGTGTATGTGTGTGGAATGTGAGAGTAGTGATGCTCCCCCACTTTCTCCCCTGCTCCAGTTTTCATGTATACGATGTGGATACCAAATATCACGACGTACCTTTTTTTCTTATTATTATTATATTAAAAAAACAAAGCCTCAGTACAAGTAAGAGAAACAGGAAAATTTTAGTTCAAAACTAGATCTTTGATCTCTCTTCAAATTTTTTTAACCATTAAATTAAAAGCTTGGAGACCACGACATACTTTACCTTTAATGGTATGTCAAAATTTCATTTTTCAAGACGTTGTCTGTCGTTTCATTTCCAAATTTATTGAATGACACTGACATGTTCTGCTGAGATATCAGTAGACAAGGTCACTTTCCAAAAAAGCTTATTGCCAATTTAATACTTGCCGAGAATCAGTTAACTTTCTATCATATAATTCCATAACCTTGTTAGCTTCCAGCACCCAAATTAAGAAAAGAAGATTGATAGCTTGAATCATTAGCCAAATTCCGTTCTGAACTGAATCACAACACCCACCATTCACATTCGACTCTAAACATTAAGCAGAGAATGTCTGAGAGATACTAATTTTCTTCTGGTCTTTTGTTCCGCCAGAGCCTTTTCAATGCTTGTCAAATTAAGTAGTACCACCAGCACTCAGATTCAAACCTATGACCTATATATCCACTACATAAGCTGAAATGAACTCTTTCTTCCAAAAGGTTGAGTTGGGGGAAATTGATTTTATCCTTTATTTCATCTTCACCATCCCAACTACCTTGTATTATTTTGTCCATATTCTCGCACCTGGATATACTCATTTCTTGGAGCTCCATTAGGCTTTTGACTGTGGAATTTGTTACTAATTTTATGATTCCATTACATCCTGCAACTTCAAGAGTCACCAGATTTTAGAAAGATACTGAGGATGGAACTAAATTCTTTTTTAATTTGGGACACCATCCACACGTAAAATCCTTAGATTTTGAAATCCTTCCTTTTCCTTCCATAAATGCATCAACTCATAAAGATGATAAAGCCTTAATTCAGTTAACCGAGAGAGTAGCACCAATGCAAATGAAGGCTTTTCCTTAGATTGTGGGGCTGTTATCTTTGATGGTACAGAAATGTTGATCCGCCAAGGCTTTGAACAATACAAAAACTTCACTGGTTTGCCTGGTAAGACAAGTAAAACTGCTTCCCTAATACTGAAAGCAAAATAATTTGCTTGTTCTGATTTTATAATAATTCTTTTTCTTTCATCTTTTTGTTTGCCTACTCTAATTTCAGCACCAGAAGCATTGTTTAGGCAAGTCATGGAGAAACATACATGAAAGGGTTTTGAAAGGTTATATCATCATTTCTCGTCAGGACAAATTTCTTTTTTGTTTTTCTCAAGGAAGTTGCAGCTTAAGAATAAAAAAAGAGGTTGTAAGTGTTAAGATTCGAATATCAGACTGAACTGTATGAACCAACCAGTTTGGACAAAATTTTTAAAATAATGCATCATATGGTCAGAACATGCCTAGTTGTATTTGATTGTATAAATAAATCTTCACCAATACCTCAAAAACACCAAACTTGAGGATTTGTAGCCTTCTGTTGGGACATTTATGTATTGTCCTCATCAGAGAAAGAGGTGAAAACAGGTTCCTGTAGCCTATCCCATCCCCCTGCTGGTGTATGTATATATAAGATATTAAATATTTTTTTCTAATTGATTATGTTTTTTCATGGAGAGATTTTCATTTACAGTTCATAAGAAATCAATTTGAGCACTGAACACTATAGGTTAATGTTAGTGTGGTATTATATCACGTTTAATGAATATTTAATTTCTTATAATCCTATATTCAAGTTAAATCTTTTTACTTACAGTTAATTAATTTTAAGTTGAATGCTTAACAGTTAATATTCAACGATTGTAGGAAAATGGTCATGGAAGGCTTGAAGTTCCCATGGAAGCAACAGCCAAGCTGCTCTTTTGAGCGAATTTAAATGCATGGTTTTATACAAAAATTGTTGGCCAAAAAACAAAGTTTGACGCCTACCCAAAAATAAACAAAAAAATAATGCAATCGGTCTTCACCAAACTCCAAAAATACAAGAGGTCTTTTTTTTTTCGTTTCTTTTTGTTATTAATGAAGTGCTCAAATTGGTTGAACCAAAAGGGTAATTGTACTAAATAAGCGGCCTTAATGAGTTAGTTCTATCATATCTTATGCCAAAATATATGAAAATTAAAGTTCAAAGGAAAATTTTATTTGAGTAGCAGAGTTTAAAATCAAGCTCAAAACCAACCTGATTTTTTACTTTTTCTGTTTTGTTGACTTCTTTTTGGTATTCCTTTAGTTGCCAATCACAGATTTTCTAATTGGTGATGGAGCTCAATGGGGTTCGACATCAATCTGCGTGCCAATAATGGTAGAATCAGTTGATCAGATGCTGCTTCAAATGCGAAAAGCAATGGAACTTGGTGGTGATCTTGTTGAGGTTCGGGTGGATTTCTTGAAGAACTTTGTTCCTAGACAAGATCTTGATATCTTGATCAAACAAGTTCCATCGCCAACTCGTCACCTTCAGGTATTGATTTATTCTTTGGAGGAAATAAAAATGATTGCATCCGTTATCCATGATATTAGACGTAATTTGCTTTATATATGATCTGGTTGAAAGGTAAATTGAGCTTAGAGTAATGTTCTTTCCGTTGCAGAGGCAACACTGAAGCATGAACTAATTTGAGAAAAAAAAAATAATACTAAAGTTTGTGAGGCCTGTTTTTTTCGTTTCTTTTTGTTATTAATGAAGAGCTAACTCGGTTGAGCCAAAAAGGTAATCGAAAGGAATGAGCGGTCTTAGTGAGTTAGTTCTATCATATTTTATACCAAATTACATGAAAATTAAAGTTCAAAATCAAAATTTATTTGAGTAGCAGAGTTTAAAATCAAGCTCAAAACCTGATTTTCTACATTTTTATGCTTATAAGCAAGTTGCTTTCTCTGAAACATTAGTTAGATTCAAAAAGTTTAGTGAGCTAATTACGTAAAAGCACCCAACTCTTCATAAGTTAACAAAGTGTGTGATTGCCACATTTAATATCTTCCCATATTTAACAACCCTTCTTATGGATAATGCACTTATAAACCAAGATGGGAAGGTGGTCAATATGATGGTGATGAAATGAAAGCAAGTGGCAAGAAGCATTACATCTAGCCATGGAATTGGGAGCAAATTACATTGATATTGAACTGAAGATTGGTCACCCAAAAGCTATCCTCTATGGCGATGTTGTCATAGTTATTTCTTGAATTCTTAAATTCAATTTGCTTTTGTCGGGAACATGCTAATAAATTTCCATCTTGCCTCTTGAAGGTTGCTCATGACTTCTTCAATTCGCTTCCAGGGGAGAGGCCTGAAAATGTCAAGACTATAGTTTCTTCGCACAACTATGAATGAACTCTATCTGCTGAGGAATTAGGTGATTTTGTTGTGAGAATACAGGCTACTGGAGCTAACATAGTGAAGATCACAACAACCGCCTTAGAAATCATAGATAATGCTCAAATATTTCAACTCCCAAGTAAGTAATTTACTATTTATACTTTTTGACTTTGTTCTTTACAAATTTTTAAGTTTTCTTTCACTTTTATTAGATTTTACTGTGTGCTACCAGAAATACTGACATATAGCAATAACTTTCGAGTCTTGGACAATGCAAGATAAATGTATGAGCTCCCATTTGCAATTTCATTGATAATGCTTCCTGTTTTATTTCTATTTTAGGGAAACACCAAAACTGTTTCTTAGTTTGTGTGTATTTCTTTTCATTGTTTGTCCTAGTAGTTTGTGTTCTTACAGTCTTTCCTACATTGAGAATGACATGTCTTATGAATCTGTAGGTCCCAATGATAGGACTTGTTATGGGCGAGAGGGGTTTGATGTCAAGGATCCTTGCTGCAAAATTTGGGGGATTTCTCACTTTTGGAGTTTGGCTCACTTGAGGTGGCAGTTTTATCAGCCCCGGGCAGCCAACCGTGAAGGAATTGTTGGATTTATACAATATGAGGCATACTGGACCTGATACCAAAGTACATGGGGTTATTGGAAATCCTATTAGTCACAGCAAAAGTTCTCATCTTTACAACACAGCATTTAGATCCACCGGTTTTAATGGAATATATCTACCTTTATTGGCTGATGATGTCTCAAAATTTATCACCACTTATTCATCCCCTGATTTTGCTGGAATAGTGGAAAATCTTATTTGCAACATGTTTTTGGCAGGTCATTTATGTGTATGATACATAAAAGAATAAAACAGGCGAATTTTAATTGAAATTTATTTAGCTAAGAGTTCTTAAGTTCCTTGCTTGGAAGGGTCTGAACTTGGTCAGGAAAGGAAAAGAAATGATGAGAGAAATGCATATAAGCTGTTCATGCATCACCATTTATTTGATATGCTAATTGAAAAGTCATATAAATCTAGTTTATGATGTTATTTTTTCGTTAAAATCGTACTTCATTCATTTCTTTCAAATTTTATTATTGAATATAAAATTATCAAGTCCTTGCTGTATATGCATATAACATTGTTTCTATAATGATTCTAAATCCCATCATATATCCAAATCAAGTTATTCCATCAATGCTAAAATATTGCTTCGTTAGCTTGTAGAGGTCCGAGTTACTTCCAAACTTTACAAAAATCACAATGATTAACCGATTCAGACTAAAAGGATTCGAAATGTTTGTGACGGTGACTACGTTACAACACATTCCTTTGTACAGGTTCATTGCTGACTAAGAAGTTATTTTGGGGTAGAGGATTTTCTTGATGATGATAATAACAGGCCATACACTTATCAGGAGAAAAAGTAAAAGAAACAGCATGAACATTCGTCATTTAAACACCGGACTGTAGCATACATGGAGCCATTTACACCTGATGTCTTCATCTCAAGGCGCTTTGTTTTTGCTTTGCTAATTCATTAAGCAGGTTACGGTTGCTGGCACAAACTCGAAAGATATTGAAGTAATACTTAGATCCAAATCAGACATTCCTGCTTGCTTGGCAATTGGGCAGATATTAGCTGAGAGAGCAAGAGAAGCCAATGTATATACCGCTTATTATACTTCCGGAGAGAGGGACAAATTTAAAGGAAAAATCAGAACAGTTTAGTCCCTCATTTGTAATGGAATTGATATTAAAATTTATCTTGATTGATTAAGTTGAATTCATTTTTGATAGTATTACTCTTTTTTTAAACTTTTGGATGTTGTTTTATGTTGTTTTTGCTTCTGAATATTATTGAATCACTGTTATATTATGGGTATGAAAATAATGTGATTGTTGTACTTTTATGTTTTTTTTTTCTGTTTATTATCATATTATTTTAATTTTATATCAACAATTTTAAGTATGTTCTCTATTTTTTCTGATTATTATCATTTTATTTTATATCTCGAAATTCAATAACATTGAATTTGACTGTTAGCTAGATTCATCATATAATTATTTTTTAAAAATAATATTTAATTAATTTATGATTTAAATTTCAACATTTTTTATTTTTTAAATTTAATCTCAGTACATACAATTATTTCTTTTATTTCTTTTCTCAAATTGTGATTAAAAAAAAAATTGTATTGAAAGGAGATTTACCCAATAACATATCTATATTTTAAGCAACCGGTTCAATTAAAATGACTTGGTAAAAACAAACAGTAAAAAACCTCTGGCCTGGTTTGGGTTAGAAAGTGCAATACCACAATCCTTACTGCTTACTATTACAACCCAAAACTCACAAAAAAAAAAAAAGCATTGTGGTAAATTTAATTTCAAAGTAAGGGTAGTCTGGTAAAATAAAAAATAATGATAAGAATTCGCTAGCTTTTTTTCTTTTTCTTCGAACCCATTACTTTGAAATCTGAACACAGGTTGGCCGTATGTTTATATTTTATTTTAAGAAATTTCTTTTTCCTTCTTCACCTCTTTGAAAAAAAAAAAAGAAAAACAGAGCAAAAAGAAAAATCTCTGTCAATGAAAATCTATCATTTTCTCTGTTTCTGAAGATTCACTTTTCCAAATTCAAAACCCTAATGTCTATACGATCTGATTTTATAGCAGTGCTTTTCGGAGTGCAACTTTTTTTTGTCATTTTCTGTTTGGTTGCAGAGAAAGAAAAAGGTATCCTGGTTTTCTATTTTTATTATTTTGGAATGGTTCATTTTGATCCATGATGCTATTGCTTTTTCATGAGTTTAATTGGATTTTAAATTTTAGAGCTTTTATAGATGATGTGGGTTTTTTTGTTTTGGGGGAGGCGAGTTTACTGATCAAAAGTTGAAATTTGATGTGTATTAAATTTTTTGGGGGTTTGCAAAAGCTAAGAAATTTAATTTATAGCTATAATTGGTGAAAATTGTTGCATGATTAGAGCTAAAATCCAATAGATTTGAATTTATTTTTGCATGTTTTAGTTGGCGTGACTGTTTATCTGATATTGGCGTGGTCTGTTTTTATTCTGTTTGACCTTTTTTTAAAGATCTTTACTAGTTTAGTTGGAACTTGAATTTATTTTTGGTGCATTTGTATTTTATCAGACATATCGAGACCCCATTATCTAAAATGTTTTGAAATTTTATCAGTTCCTAGACAATTATTGGGATCTAATTAGATGTATGCTGATGAAATACATTAATGATATGTTTTGACTCTTTGGGGTACTGGTGAAGACATTTAGAATGAAAGAATCATGAGCTATTTGGAATGAAATTGATCATTTTTAATAGATTTGTCGTTAGTGGTGGAAAATTAAAGAGTTAAATGAGATGTCGTTTTACTTTATGCTGTTGTTACTTGTCATTTTCTTTTCTGTCCCTAGATAGTGTGATGTGAGGTGAGAGACAAAGCAGAGAAACTTCTATTTTCTCCAGCTAGTTTTCCTCTAAGTTCGATGCAAGAGAAAAGAAGGGAAAACTCTCTTTCTGGTGATATTTTCTTCATCCTGTTCCAAGTCCAATGTGGCTTTACATATTTATATTGCTTTTATTTGTTATTGACAATTAGGAATTGTCCTTATATGATTCTTAATTTTGATTGGTAGAAATGCATGACTAAGAAGAGGGTATAAGCAACCAATATTGTTTTGATTTGATATGGACTCTATGGTTAATATGGGACTCTACTTTGGGTGTTTGGGGACATTCTATGTTTTTGTGTCTGCTTTGGGCCCAATTTTATAAATTAGGTTCCACCGGCAAGAAAGATCGCGAAGTTTCTTGCACAAATGATTTAGTTTCCATAAGTGTATTTACTTCAATAATGATGCTAAACCATTAAATTTACATTTGTGATTAAGAAGAATTTACTCTATTTTAAAAAATCAAAATTGCTTTATTCCACCTGGTCTTTTTCCCTTGAAGTTTACTCAATGTGCTTTCTGGCTTTAAAGGTTCCCAAACTGATCCTCTCACATTCATGTTCTGGTTTAGAATCTTAAATACTTGCTTGCTAATTTGACCAGGAACGCAATTGGGTGTGTTGGTAGACTCTATGGAAGCTGACAATGCTGCAGAAGACTTGGCAAAAAGCCCAATTTTATTTAAGGCTAAATCTGATATTGCAAAGTCAATGGCCAAGAATTTCTTGAAGACAAGGAAAGCCACTGGCACTTCTGAGGTCCGGAGGAGAAAGCCAAAGAAGAAAAACAAGAGTGTATTAGAGGGCAATAAAGCTACTGAAGATAATGCTAACAAGCTAAATTCAAGGAAAGAAAACCAACAAGAGGATGCTACAACCAGTACAGAGTGCGTAGAGAAGAGCTAGCAGATACAAAAGAATGAAGAAAATACATATGCATCAGATGTCCAGGAAAATAGCTGTAAGTCAAATGACAGTCCCAAGAAGAGAAGAAGGGAAAAGGAGCCCAGCTTTTTTAATAAAAACTAAAAGAATGAAGAAAAGCGGGACGGTAAGAAAAAGAGAAAATGGAATGAGCAGAAGGAAAAACACAGTAGTTCAGAGAAGAATAACAAGAATATAGAAAAGTGCGATAAGGGAGCGAAACAAGAAACTAAGAAGAAGGAAAAGATAGATGGTCTGATATTTATGTGCAATTCAAAGACCAAGCCAGCCAGATTGTTTCCAATATTGTGTAATGGCTGTACCCACAGGTAAAAAAGATATTGTGTTGGGTATCAGACGAGGGCTTAAGCATTTTCTCCATGATTATGATCTCAAGCTTATGTATGGGATTTATAAGGCATCCTCTTCTGGTGGCATGAAACTTGAGCCAAAGGCTTTTGGTGGGGCTTTCCCCGCTCAGGTGCCATTTTCTTATAGCCTTCTCCCTTTAATTACAACTCTGTGTCTTCCTTCCTTTAAAGATTTTGTGTACCAATGACTTCCATTTCGGGTGCGGTTCAGTGTCCATGCTGATTGTTTTCTGCAGAGAGCATTTTCAAGAAGGCAATGAAGGAAAATTATAATGAAAAGCACAAATTCAAAACTGAACTTGCCGCTAGACAAGTGAGGAATAGTTTTCATACCTTGCGGTTTGGTGTTCATAGTTTCCTTTCATATTTTAGCATTAATTTCATCTGAAATTTCCCTTTCAGGTTCGGAAGCTCACTGAACTTTTTCGACCAGTTGGAGTTCATTCAATTGCACTGCCTGCTCACTCCCTGTCAAGGGCAGCGGCTGGAATCATTGAACACTCTGACAACAGGGAAGTTCATGATAGACCAAGGGAAGCAAGGCCCCCTTCACACACAGAAGCGTTTGCTAGAGATCCTTATGTCAATATCAGTGCTAGAAATTACTCCGTTTCATCTCATTAAAAGGATCAGCAAATTGCATATGGAGAGTTGGCATATAGTCGGAGGGAGGACAGTCATTGTGATTTATACCATAGTAAGAAGGAATACATGGCTTATGGTCTTCAGGGAGAGAAGAAACTTGACTCTTTAGCTTCTTATCACTCCAGCATTAGCATCTTACCGTGGAGATTGCAAAGAGAAGCTTCTACGACAACAAGACATGGTAGACAGGGAATCCATGGCTATGCAGAGAGATATAATTCACTCTGATCCTCTTTACTTGACTGAGAGAGAGTATCAGACTTACGATTTGGGTGCTACACGAGAAATGCAATCAACAGTTTCTGCAGCGTCTGCAAATACATCTGTAGCTGCTGCTTCTACTTTGGACTCCTATACTACGAATCCATATTATAGTCGATATCATGGTGCTTCATTGGTTGACTCTTATCTGCCACGTCCAAGAGCAGAGGCACCTGATTGAGACTGGTCATTTGAGGAGGAAAGAAAGCAACAAAGTGGATAGATTGTATTCCGCATATGCTTCTGATGCATTTGCAGATTACAACCAGATGTATCTACTTGAAGATTTTAAGCCTGAAGCTGCTTCTGCATCAGTTTCATCCCTGTATTCTTTTAGTGGTGCGTCATTGTCTTATTGCTGAGAGTTTGATTATCTGTCCTTTCATGCCCCTAACATAAGACATGTCATTTGTTTTTTAAATTAATGACAGTTTTTCCTGTTATTTGCCTGCAAGTGGTTGAAATTCGCATCTCTGTGAAACAGTTTATCATAAATAATTAGCATAATAGAGTATTTTGCAGATCAATTCTTATCTGTTCAGCTCTTCGCTGATATATTTTTTTAGCCACGTTGTGTTTTGATATGCTGGCAAGGTTCAAATTAAGATCTGCAACAGCTTTAGTAGACAGAAGTATATATCATATATGCTTGTGGGTCTTGGGTTTGAGTCTACTCTTTTTCTCTTGAATGGTTCTTCAGCCAACATCTTTAATCCTTTCTTTATTAAAAAATAAATAATAAAGAAGGGGATTGATCCGTATACTTTTTTCTTTTTTCCTTCAATTAATTTTGTCAATTGGGTAGGGTTTAAAACCTTAAACCAATGTCAATATTGGTTTTTATGGAGTTTTTGATTCCCTGATTTAATAAAACACTAGTTTAGCAGGATACTAAGCTCTATAAATATACCCAAAATAGGATTACAAGTTGAAGTGTTGTCATCTTAGGGTGTTTGGGTATACAACCAATTCAGATGGAGTTTGTCAAATCTGAAAGAAGAAAACAAAACGGAACCTTGATGCTTAATCCACTCCAATTTCAAGGAAGATCTCTTGATTAAGCATTTGTATGTTACCAAACGAAATTGTCAGTGGATAAAATTTAGTATATCTAATATCCAAATAATTACTTGATTGTTTCAAATTACAAAAATACTCATGCGAACCGAAAAAGCTTTTGAAAATATATTTATTTGAATAATCTCGAAATATATTTATTTGAATAGTTCAACTGAATAAAATAAAATCTTCGCTCTTAAAGTTTGTATTACTTATAAACTATCAGCTTTTGAAACTCTTTGATCAATAGTGTATTTCTAATGACCAAGATCGTTGCTACAGGTGTTCAATTTGTATGTATTTTCAATCAACAGAATGAAATCGGTAAGCCTTGCAGAAGTTCGACAAGGACCAGCTTCTTAACTTGACATGAGGGAAATATTAGGACACCTTCCATGGAGATTGGATTCTTGCCATTCTTCCACTCAATATCCTTGGGATTGATTGGCCTTAAGCCCTCACCGTATGAGAAAACTGTGAGGGGCATTTGCGCTACCTAATTTCCCCTACCAGTGTACCGCTACATTGATGATAAAAAATATTTCAATCTTACATTTCATACAGGAATTATTTACTCCAACATGACCAACCTTGTTTACTATGAAAATATCAAATTAATCATACTTCTGAATAGTGCCACCAAAATAGTAGGGCCACCAGAAATAACCTGAGGCAGAACGGAATTCAGCACAAGGTTGTGAGTAAAATGGAACATGTTCTAAACAGGATGGATAAACTGCCCCTCCATGAGCTGTTGTAGGCACAGTGCAGACCATGTGACAGCCATCCTCCAGAATTTGGTATTGGGTCTATGTTGCAAAATCACCTGCAAACAAACAAGTCTCAAATTCAGGTCTACAAAAGGGCTTCCTATCGTCCAAATAAATAAATCTGAATTAGGCTTTCTTTCAAGTTTCAACATGAAATATGTTGTAGCTTCCCAGGTTTGTTTAAGTGTGACAAAGACAACTATCTGAAACATTTTACTTGCACAGTGCCTTTACTTCAAAAGATGTTTAAATAAAGCAATCACTATTTGTTAGCTTAAGACCAAAAAAAAAAAAGAAATCACCTTATCGCAATACTACCTCTAGTGAAGGAAAGCTCAAAGTCATAAAGCATTTGAGTCAAAATGGTGTAAGAGCCATGTTGTCCAAAGATAAGTAAAATTTTGACTTACTACATTATTAAAAAATGAAGAATTAAACAAGGGTTTCGTTGATCTTCTTTGGAAAATTCTTTATATCCTCAGCTTTGCAATCCTTGAAATTCATCATTTCAAAAGTTTCCTCATCCTCTAGTTCAAAATAAGTATGTAATCCTCAACTTCAAAAATCTTGTCATTTTGATACTTCAAGAAAATTTTCCTTGTTCCCTGACTTCAGAATGTTATCCTCCTTAACTTCACAATACCCAAATCATTAAAAAAACAGAAGTACCTGGTACATATGCTATCACTTCAAAGGTTGATCAAATTAATGTACGGTAAGCTATAATTAGCTAAACATAAAAGCCTAAAGAAAGAAGTTGTGACCATTTACTGGATGATCAAATGGAACATACAATGTTTAAGGAATAAGAATTTGTACTTCCGAATTTGTGATGAAGAAAGCACCTTCAAAGGACATAAAAACCAGTTGCATTAGATGAACAAAAACTAGACTGTCTCAAGATGCATATAAAGAATTTTCACTTCGTTTCATGGCGGTTGAAGGATTAGGTGATCCTCTTTAGAATTTTTTACTACACTGACTGGATAAAAAACAATAATAGTGAAGGTGAAAAGGAGAAATATTCAAAATTTACTTTTGTTACACTTTGAAGAATAATATCATAATGAATGAAATCAAAGCCATCTGATTTCAAATGAAGATAAATTTTAAAACAATGTCTTCTGCAATATATCATGAACTAGTTAGGCGGCACCATACACCTACTCAAGTAATGAAGAAAAGGTGGACCATTTGAGTTAAAAGAAACAAAAAGTATATATTTATGAATGGTGTCTGCAGATTCATAGAATGAAATTTGGCTTACTTGGGTCATTGGGTGTTAGAATTTGAAGAATTGCCTTGATCTTTTATGTAATTCTGCACTTCCTCTATGGCATTCATAGAATTCTGCAACAACAACAATTACTATTAGAATTTTGACACTCTCTATGGTCATTGATTTCAATAAATCCAAGCAACGAGAGAGACAAGGAAAAAAGAGGAAAAGGCTTAATACCGTCCCTTGAATATATTGAAAAAAAGTGTAAAAAGGTGTAAAACGTTTTTTCTGTAATATATATGAAAGGTAGATTCATAGGATTTTCGCTTACTTGGGTGTTAGAAGTTGAAGGATTGCCTTGATGCTCTTCAAGAATCTCATCTTCATATTCTTCATCTTCTCCCGCCATTACATTCTATTATCAGCAGCAGCAATATTAGCGAAAAGGTGAAAAGAAGAGTTAATTTTAATTTATATTGTTGTGAGGATCACCGCCACCAACAATTCTGTGACAAATCAATTAACAAAGCTATAAATTCTAAATAATACCAGCATCCTCCTTCATATGAAAACACAATTATCTCTTCACTGTGCTCTTGCCCTTCCATATACATTGATTAACCCACTAAATTTTAAATACCCAATTAACAGATGATATTTTAACTTTAGCCCTAAAAAATCGTTCTTCTCATTCCAACTCTTTGGTTTTGATTGGTGAAAGGAATGGTCAGTAGTCAAAATTTAAAATCCAACTCCAAAGATGATGACCGAAATTTTGAAAAATACTAACTACTAAGGAAATTTGGCAAAATATACCCTTTCTTTGAACAATTGTTGTACGGTCCTATTAAGGCTGCCTTCCCAACGTTCATTATTTTTCCATGGATGTAACCGCAGTTTGTGCAACAATGGTGTGTTTGAGTCTCCTTGAGAGAACATCTTCATCTTTGGGCAATTTTCCAGAATTACAGTTACCAAGGATGGGAATCCAAAGGTATAATTCCCTGATGAGCAGAAGCTTTCTAGCTTTGGTAGCCCAATAAGTACCAAAAGGTTGAGTTGGGGGAAACTGATTTCATCCTTTGCTTCATCTTCATTATCCCCCACTACCTTGTGTTATTTCTTCTATATTCTCGCATGACCGTATCTTCATTTCTTTGAGCTGCACTAGGCTTTTGGCTGTGGAATATGCAACAAATTTTATGATTCCATCACATCTTTCAACTTCAAGAGTCACCAGATTTTTGAAAGAAACTGTGGAAGGAACTAAATTATTTTTTAATTTGGGACACCATGCCACATTTAAAAATCCTTAGATTTTGGAATCCTTCCTTTTCCTTCCATAGATGCATCAATTCATGAAGATTAACAAGCCTTAATGCAGTTAACCGGGAGAGTAGCACCCATGCAGATGCAGGGTTTTCCTCACCAACTCCATCACTTGGGAATATCTCTTTAAAGTAAGCTCCCCTTATTTCAAGCGTTTCAAGATTGGGAAAGGATAATAACTGGAGCAAGTAAGATGGGAATATGGCTAATTGTTCAGGAAAGTCATAAAGTGTGACAAATTTTAGTTTGGAGAAGTAGTGGGATGCAAGTAGCTGTTGTTGTTGGGCAGAGCAATGCCATATCTCCTTCATCCCATCATTCCATCCCAAAGTAAGTTGTTGTAGAGTTGGGAACGTAAACTGCACAATTCATAATGTATTATAGGGACAGAAGATGCATTGCATTGTTCAAAATCAACAACGATTGCAATTCGGTAGAATATCAACAGAAAAATTAATTTATACATAAAATATAATAGGAGAGATTCATTTATATTAATGTAAGTTTTATTTTATATTTTTTAATTAAAATAATTAAAATAAAAATATTATTGAAATTAAATTAATTATAAATTTAATTTTTGTATAAAAATAAAAAAATATATAAGTTAATCTGAACTCAAAATACATTTTCATCCTCCTTATTTGAGAAAAAATTTGTTGGTACTTTTATTTCAAGTGTACTTGAATAAGGAGATTGTACTTCGATTAGTTTATTTTTTACTTTTATTTAAAGCAATTTTTTCTTAATTATTATGTGGTACAGTAAATTATTATTATCACTATTATATATTATTATATGCTAACTTTTGATGTACATGAATTTTTATAAAATTAGAGTTTTTCCTGTTCAAGTGAAAATTTATATTTCCAAAAATTGCATTATATTATACTTAAGTCCTTATCTTTTGCAAATAATATGTATTGTACCGAATTAAAAAAAATGCTTTATTTTAACTTTTTTTATAATATTACATATATAGATAATATATCTTTTTTCCTTTATCATAATTTTAATAGGTTAATTAGCTTTTTGTTATAATTCAAAGTTCTGTTACATAATTTATATTAAGAAAATTAATTCATCGATCATAAATGCTATTTAGGTATAAATAAATATTTAAAAGATTAAAAAGATGTTCCATTTTAATAAAACAAAATTAATCTATCATCTTTGAAAAGAAAGAAAAGAATTCATGAAGTAATTAGAAACAAAAGTTTATCATAATTTGATAATTAAAAACATACCTTATTCACCGAAATTAGGGACTGTTGAATTTGGACTAATTCATGTTCACTGTTCCCTCCCTTTGTTTCTTGAAAACCAAACAATATCTCCACTTTATCACATTCACACACCACAATCTTTTTCAATAATGGACAATTTGTAGCATACATTTTATGATAGAAACTCTTTAGTCTTGGCAATTTCATGAGTACCAAGAACGTCAACCGTGGAAATTCAAATGTAGCAGTTGCAGTACTACCATCTGCTTGTTGGGGTTCAAATATTTCTTCCACTAATTCACAATCCGATATGATTAGTTTCTCAAGCCTTTCAAGTCTTGTCAACGTACTCGAAGGAAAAGCATTCACTAGCTTATCACAACGTCTCAAATAAAAGTAACGTAGTTTGGGAAAGGATTGTTCAGCAAGTTGGTTAGGCCATAGCCTTTCCAAGTTTTTCATGGAAGAAATATACAAGCTTTGTAGCATAGGAAGTGCCACCTATATATAAATACATAATTCATTTGAATGTTACATTAGTAACTAAATATAACATTGGAAAACATAATCCAATCAAGGGAAAGGAAATGTTAAGAAATTGTGAAATTTTTACAATTTCTTCCCACATGTAAATGTCTTGTCCTTAATTAATCATTATTATTAAATTAAAAATACTAACTAATTTTTATTTCCTTATTAATATTAAAGTCATTAATTATTAAAATAATTCAACACAAGTCTATTTATTTAAAAAATGGACAACACATCTCATATTTAATAACTCTTTTAATAGAATTTATGTAATTACAAAATTATCTCTCAAATCTAAATGTTTTGATTTAGATTTATATATTTGTATATTAACATACTTATAAATGTAAGTTTTGTTTTAATATGTTGCATCTAAAAAATCCTTTTTGATTCATAATAGTTTTGATATATTTTGAGAAAAATATAAAAATAATTTATTATTATAAAATATTGCTTAATGTGAGTGTTTAAAGATATTAAATTTTCAAGAGTAAATTAGTCTTTAAATAAAGTTTTTGACGAAATAATTAAGGGATGACTAAAAGAAAAACTTATTTGTCCTCAAAAATTGAAAAGTTTTAGATAAGTTATATATTTTAAGCTAATAAACTTACATTAAATTATCCTCAAAATGGAAAGGTCCTAATAAAATTAACCTTAATATATTCTTAAATGTTACTTGAGCTAACATATATAACTAAAAGGGATGTTCAATGCTACTTGCATGTATACATAGGTTACTATTTTTTAGATCAATGTGCATGAAAAAAATAAGCTCTAAAGATTGGGTAAACTAATAATGTATGTTACTTGAGATTAATTGATTGTGCAAACAAAGATTATAAAAAATATACATAAAAATTATCAAAAACACTATAAAAGTTAAAAGGCTTTAAAGCTATCTTATATAAAAAGACCTCTAAAAATCAGGAGGAATTGACAAGAATTTTGAGTAAAATTGTTAGTAAAAAATTAGAGATAGTTAATAAATGATTTATTGGCATGGTCCTTAATTCCATAATTATAATTGTAAAAATTACATAATTTATTTATAAAAGAAATTTTTTTTTTTAATTTTCAAGCTTTTAAATTAGGTCAACCTAGCAAGTTAACTCACAATTAAATCTTCAAATTGCATGCTTCTAGATTAAAAACTTTATTAAAACAAAATTGTTAGTACATTAAAATTATATATTTAAAAATTAAAATTATATTAACTTCGCTTGTTACCTTACAAATCATAATTAAATTATGAGTTACATTCTTTTAGATTGAAAACTTGATTAAGATTATTACTTTTATTTCAATGACATGATTAACTAATTGTTCATAAACTTACAATTTAAGTCCTTATCTTTTGAAAATAATATTACAATTTTTACGTTTTGAAAAATTGTATTATATTATATTTAAGTCCTTATCTTTTGAAAATAATATTTATTGTATAGAATTAAAAAAAATAATGTTTCATTTTAACTTTTTTTATAATATTATATATATAGATGATATATATAACTTTTTTCTTTTATTATAATTTTAATAGGTTAATAAGCTTTTTGTTATAATTCAAAGTTTTGTTCTTTTTTAGTAAAACAAAATTAATCTATCATCTTTGAAAAGAAAGAAAAAGAATTCATGAAGTAATTAGAAACAAAACTTTATCATAATTTGATAATTAAAAACATACCTTATTCACCGAAATTAGGGACTGTTGAATTGGGACTAATTCAAGTTCACTCTTCACTCCATCTGTTTCTTGAAAACTAAACAATATCTCCACTTTGTGACATTCACGCACATTCATCTCTTTCAATGATGGACAATTTGGAGCATACATTTTATGATAGAAACTCTTTAGTCTTGGCAATCTTATAAGTTCCAAGGACGTCAGCCATGGAAATTCAAATGTAGCAGTTGCAATACTACCATCTGCTTGTTGGGGTTCAAATATTTCTTCCACTAATTCACAATCCCTTATGATTAGTTCCTCAAGCCTTTCAAGTCTTGTCAATATACTCGAAGGAAAAACATTCACTAGCTTATCACAACTTCCCAAATAGAAGTAACTTAGTTTGGGAAAGGATTGTTTAGCAAGTTGGTTAGGCCATAGCCTTTCCAAGTTTTTCATCGAAGAAATAGACAACCTCTGTAGCATAGGAAGTGCCACCTATATACAAATACATAATTCATTTGAATGTTACACTAGTAACTAAATATAACATTGGAAAACATAATCCAATCAAGGGAAAGGAAATGTTAAGAAATTGTGAAATTTTTACAATTTCTTCCCACATGTAAATGTCTTGTCCTTAATTAATCATTATTATTAAATTAAAAATACTAACTAATTTTTATTTCCTTATTAATATTAAAGTCATTAATTATTAAAATAATTCAACACAAGTCTATTTATTTAAAAAATGGACAACACATCTCATATTTAATAACTCTTTTAATAGAATTTATGTAATTACAAAATTATCTCTCAAATCTAAATGTTTTGATTTAGATTTATATATTTGTATATTAACATACTTATAAATGTAAGTTTTGTTTTAATATGTTGCATCTAAAAAATCTTTTTTGATTAATAATAGTTTTGATATATTGAGAAAAAATAAAAATAATTTATTATTCTAAAATATTAACTCATGTGAGTATTTGAAGATATTAACTTTTCAAGAGTAAAATAATCTTTAAATAAAGTTTTTGATGAAATAACTAAAGGACGACTAAAAGAAAAACTTATTTGTCCTAGAAATTGAAAGTTTTGAGATAAGTTGTTTATTTTTCAAACTAATAAATTTACGTTGAATTATGCTCAAAATGTAAAAACCCTAATAAAATTTACTCTAAAATATTCTTAACTGTTACTTGAGGTAACGTATATAACTAAAAAGAATGTACAATGCTACTAAAATTATATGACAGTTACGTGTATACATAGGTTACTATTTTTTAAATCAATGTGCATGATAAAAATAAGTTCCAAAGATTGAGTAAACTAATACTGTATATTACTTGATATTAATTGATTGTGCAAACAAAGATTATAAAAAAAAAACATATAAAAATTATCAAAAAAGCTATAAAAGTTAAAAGGCTTTAAAACTATCTTATATAAAAATAGCTATAAAAGGAATTGACAAGAATTTTGAGTATAATTATTAGTAAAAAATTACAAATAGTTAATAAATGATTTTTTGGCATAGTCCTCAATTCCATAATTATAATTGTAAAAAATACATAATTTATTTATAAAAGAGAAAAAATTTTAAATTTTCAAGTTTGATCAACCTAGCAAGTTAACTCACAATCGTCAAATTGCATACTTTTAGATTAAAAATTTTATTAAAACAAAATTTTTAGTACATTAAAATTATACATTTAAAAATTAAAATTATATTAACTTCTTACCTTACAAATCATAATTAAATTATCAATTATATTTTTTTAAATTGAAAACCTGATTAAAATTATTACTTTTATTTAAATGAAATGATTAAGTAATTGTCCATAAAATTACCATTTACTTTGATAATTTGTGATTATACCAAGCCATCACCGAGAAAATCACGCATGGGGCCATATATAACATCTTTTACTTAAAATATTATTATCAACTAATTATCACCGAAAGTAATAACCTTTTTATTTTAACAATAGTTTGACTTCTTCATTCGCTTCCTTCCCATTCTCTCTCTAGTTTTTGCCGCCTCTCTCCTATCGTCAGAAAATAGATAGCCACAAAACCTAGGTTTCGATGCCCATTCCTCTGCTACGCCATTGCATACCATTTCTAACGTCAATTTCCCAAAAAAAAAAAAAGTTCTATCCACTCCTTTTAGCTCTCTGTTTTCCAATTATGTAGTTATTTTTTCCAAAATACCCAAAAAGACATAGATCTACAATCCTAAAGCTCGGTTTTTTTCTACAGAAATCCCTCATTCTGTCTTTTTTAAACTCTGAAACCATCTTAGATCTCTTTCTCCATCCTTCTTCTACCATCCTCCTTCAAAATCCCCTCAAAAAACTTCATAACGAAACCCTAAAAATGGAACTCTAAGTTATCATTGCTACCCTTTTAGCCTGTCGAACTGTCTTCATTCTCTTCCTCTTCTTTCTATCCTTTTGAACGCCCAAACCCTTTCAAAATGGCTTAAACTGAAACCTTAATTAAATCCTTTTCTTTTTTGTTTTCTGCAATTTTTTGCTTTTATTTTTTGTTGAATTGGTTTTTTATTCTGGCGTTTCTTACAGTGTTAAAGGTGGCTTAGGTTTGGTGATGGTTTTTTTTTTTTTATTTCTGATTTGATTTTTTTGGTAATAAGTTTGAGTTATGCTTAGGTTTTTTTTTTATTTAATAAGGTAAAGAAATTTTTAATAATTTTTGTAATGTCGAGATAAAGGGATTTTGAAAATTTTTTGTTTCAAATTTGAAAACAATCTATATTTTTTTTCTTTTTTTCCACTCCTCCGTGGCCAGCGTTACCGCCGCTAGTTCTTAATGGCCAAAAATGTCTTAATGGATAGTTTAATAGTTAGATTGCCCAAAAATATTGTAATGTTATATAATTCAATTATGCTTTTTTAATAATGAATATTTTAGTTCTCAATATAATTTTCTTTATTTTTATGTTAAAGATTGATATTTCTTTCTAGTAAAGCAACCTATTATTGGTTGTTAGAACTTAGAACTATAAAAAATAAAGAAAAAAGAGAGAATGATCATAAAGATTGCAAAGGGTAATCACTTATCTTTTTTCTTAAAAGGAAAATTTACTATTCATGCCTATTTCATCAAGTATCGTATAACTCTCTTTTGGGTTTTTATAGCATTATTTAAATTTAATTGTATTAAACTTCAAATTTTATTTTAAATGATTTATGTAATTATTTTTTAAAAATAACATTTTTTATATTTAAAATTTAAAATTTAATACTTATAATTTTTTTATATCTCATAACTGCAATCTTTGTACCAAAAATTAATTGTATTGAATAATTTATAAATTAATATTACAAAAAATTAAATTATTTGTACTTCTAATTTTATATTTAAACACCTATCAAAAAATATTAGTAAAAGAGAAGTTGAGAAACTAAAAATTTTTAAATATTTTTCATACATGTAAATGTCCACTACATTTAAGATTTCCTTTTTTTTTTAAAAAAGAAAGACTTTTCCTTTATCTCATAAATTTCATTTTTCTTCAATATTCAAATAATTAAGACTTTTAATTGTAAAGTTCTAATTTTAAAATGTTGGAATGTCCCCATTAATTGGAAGACAATAAAATTTATAATGTTTTGAGCTAAAAACTAGAGGGAGAATTAATTAATTAATGAAGAATTATAAAATACATTAAGAAAATAACAAAAAATAGTGAAAAAAAAAAGTAGAGATATTCTAGCCATTGTTACTTCACTAGTCTTGCAACGAGTTTACATTTCGTATCAAAATTTCTTTTATAAGTTTATTTGTTAACCTCATTTATATACAGACAATAAATATTTATATGTCAAAACATTGTTTAAATTTGTAATATTTTCTTATATTATTATTATATATATTTATACACACACATTTAATTAAATAATTACATTTCAAAACTATCAACTTCCTTATGAGAATTTCACAATTTATCAACTACAGATAAAATTTGGCTAAAAAAAAAAAAACTAAAACTTTTTTTAAATTCCAATAAAAGGATCCTTTAGAAATTAGGATCGGTAAAATAATAGCATGGCCCATGCTTTGTCAGTGTCTGCTAAAGAATTGCTATACCTGATTCAAAAGTCTAAGTGTCTAACAACTAAAATTAGGATAAGTACTTAAATTAATTTACTTTTGAATATATATATATATATATATAAATGAGTAATTTTGAGTTGAATTTAAAAGATATATGGGTAATCAACTGAATCTTAGAAATTAAGTGAAAAATTAATTTCAATATTAGAATTATAAATAGAAGAATTAATCGAGAACTATATGCAGAAGGATGTTCAAAAAATAAAAAATAAAAAATTACCTTATCATTGAATAGACAATGTGATACATCAACTTGGAGGTTGTGATCCATTGAGATGCTGCTGCTGTTCTTTCCAACACTTGTACTAGAGTCACAATAGAATGTGCTAGGAAGAGGACAATTCCTTATCTCTAGTTCCCTTAGAATGGAGAATTCAATTGGATTAATTCCACAGCAAAATCTTTTGAGATTGGGAAGATCGCCGAGCTGTAAGGAGTTAAGTTTAGGAAACACCATTATGTTATCCGTTTCTTCTTCTGCACTGACTGCTATTACCTCTTCCATATCCTCACACTCTCTTACAACAAGTGTTTTCAGTTGCACAAAGCTTTTAACCATTGAAGAAGGAAATGCATACTTCAATTTATGACAGCTCCTCACTTCCAATCTTGATAAATTTTGAAAACGAAAAGTCATTACAGCAGCTGGAAACTGATCATCCCATAGTTTTCCAATACTACTCAATGATCGTAATACCAACTCCTTTATGGCAGGGAACACAACCTGCAAAAAATAATCATATATATATGTTTGATATATTATTAATAATTCCCCTAATTATTATTATTCAAAAATTAAAATAAATTCATAAAAAATGTAATAGTGGTGACTGATTTTGAAAAATTATATGAAATCCACACAAATTAAGAAATGCAATTACTATCCACTATTTCAATACAACTCTACTTTCTCTAAAAGTATATATAAAAATACAAGAAATAATTAAAATTATATTTATATTTTGCTTCAATTTAGCTGGTAATCTAATATCATTTTCCAAATCATTTTAAAAAATTGATCTATTAATTTATTCATAATTATTTTCGTATAAAAAATATTTTGAATCAAATTATTAAAATTTTATGTTTAATTATAAACAATTAAAAAATGGACAATTAAAACGACCTTACTACCTCTAATCTAGCAAAGAGAAGAAATTATTGAAAATAATATTTTTTATTTTATATAAATGTAAAATTTTAATAAAAATATATTTAAAAGATTTTTTGACAGAAAATATATTTTTGAATACATAAATAATTTTCTTTTTAAAATGATATGAAATTTTTTAATTAATTTTTTGAATCGATATAAAAATTTCTATTTGGGTTTTAAAATGATATAGAAGGTTTTTTCAAAGGGATTTTCAAATTTTAAACTAAATTTTAATTTTAAAAAAAATTATTTTCTATTAAAATTAGTTTTTTATTGATAATAATATCATAATAAAGAATTATTTTAAATTATAATATATTATAACATATATATGAAATGTAAAAAATCAATTTTTTCTGTAATTATTCTTATTTTTCTATTTTTTCCTTTTTTTCTTTTTTATAAAATATATTTTATAAAATATACTAGAAAAGAGAAAATGAAAAAGATATTTGATGTTTTTAATAGAAAATAATATTTTCTATTATGATTTATTATTTAAATAATATTTTTAATATAAAATGATTTTTTTGTTTTAAAAATGATATGCGATATTTTCAAAAAGATTTTTAAATTTTTAGTTTAGCTTTAATTTTAGAATACCTATATTTTATGAAAAATGAAAAATTTTAAACTAATAAATTATATTATAGCAAAAAATATAAAAATATTATTTTAATATTTAATATTTAATAAAAATGTATTTGAAATAGAAAATTTGAATGAGAGCATTATTGATTCGCACGAATACGAGAGTGAAATTTTAAAAACTCATCATAAGACATTGCCGTTAAAATAATTAAGATTTGATTGACAAATATAACAAACTTATGATGCATCATATGAAAGGAAATCCAAAAACGTTTTGTATCAAGAACACACGATTTTGTTTAAAGAAACAAATCTTGAATAAATGATAAAAAAAAGTGTGGGGAATCAAGTATTCACAACACAAATTTTGAAAGGGGAATTTAGGGGAAGACTGTATTGTGCTACTCATTCTTGCCAACCTTTAGAATTTATGAAAGCCAATATTCAAGAAAACAGCTATAAACAATACCACAGTTTTACCAAATAACAAGCTAATTAATCAGAAATCAGTAAATGAATTACCTTTCCGTTGAAAAGTGGAACCATATTTGAGCTTGATACACTTCCTCCTTGTCCTATTAAGGAAGGCGTTTCCTCCATGGAATAAAAGCTTTTCAATTTTAGCAAATTTCGCAGTTCCAAAGAGCGCAACTGACGAAACTCTACAACATTTTCTTCCCTTCCCTCCTCCTCTACAACTATCTCTTTCATGTTCTCGCACTTCCATACGCCAATTTCTTGAAGTTGGTAGAGATTTTTTGCTATAGAGACTGAGAAAAGATACTTCAATCTATCACACCCTGCAACATCTACGGTTTTTAGTCTGCTAAATGATTCTGTCTTGAGTTGACCATCACATATCTTCTCCAAACCAGTTAGCAGTCTAAGCTCCAATGACTCTAAAACAGGAAATGCTTTATGCGGAGCCGAGCCAATGGACTTAATAATACATTTCATGTCTGAGGAATCAACGACTCTGAGACGCTTCAAATGTGGAAAACCTTCCCTATCTAACTCATAGAGCACATTCTCGGCCCCTTTGAATTCCTCTATACGTAACTCCTCAGTTTTCTCTACCAACATTTTAATCCCTTCATCTAAATGAATACCAGTATCTAATTTAAGTTGCAATGCTTTCGAACCTTCACACCCAAAAAAATCCCAATCAAAACTTCCTATGGCAAACTTGTATCTTCCCAACTTCACAGAGAACAAGTCTTTTGGCATAATTTGGGCATCAGGAATATATACATGTAAGGCAGACAAACAAGACAAGTTCTTCAACTCTGGAAGTTGTGCATTTCCGTCAACATTCCATTGACAGAAGCTGTTGCCAACATATAGCTCTTCTAATCTAGACAACTTTGATATGACTTTTGCTGGGATCACTTTAAGTTTGTAACATTCACTCAAATCTAATAATTTCAGTTGGGTCAATTCTGCTATCTCTACTGGCAATTGCTTAATACTAGAACCCTGAAAGCTAAGGATATCTAACTTCTTTAGATTCCTTATGATGGCTATCTCAGACAAGTTGCATTGATACAAACGCAACGTTCGAAGGTTAGTTAATGAAAGAAATGATGAAGGTAAAGATGGAAAGTTCATACCAGTCACATTTAACACCTTCAGCTCATTCATGCCTTCAAAAAAAGTGTCTGAAATTTGGAAAGAAGAATCTTTATTCAGCAACATGAGTAGCTCCAATTTCGAACGTTCCACACGAGAAAGCTCATGAATATTACTGTATGGCAATGAGATAGCAGTGCAGTCATTGAGTTTTCCCTCCTTCAACAGTTCTTTCCTACGATCTTCGTCCTCTATGACCAACATCCGCTTATCTTTAGAGGCGATTGAAAGGGAAACATCGCGAATGAGATCATGCATCTTCACCCATTCGTTATCTTTTCCCTCCAGTAACAAGCTAGAATCTTTGAGCATATCAACTAGTACATCAATTCTTTCTCTTGCTTCTTCTACAGTTTTGATGCCTTTCAGCATATCCAACCCAATACAATACTGTAGCAAATCAGAGACAAGAATATCAAAACCTTGAGGATGCAGGCCACAAAGCAGGAACAGAGATTGTGCTTCCTCCTTTATCAACCATCTGTAACTCAATTCTATAGTGTAATGTACATCGTCTTTCACCCCTTTTATGTTTGATGAAATTGATCTCTGCAGCTGCCGCAAGGCATCCTTCCAATGCGGAAGATCCCTTCTTTTCAATGTATTTGCAATTGCTAAAATAGCAACTGGCAGCCCTGCGCATATTTTCACCAATTCATCCGCTATACGTTGATAATCATCAGATTTTCCAACGGCTTCACCAACTATATTTGCAAACAGAATCATTGATTCTTCTTGAGATAAGATTTTGACTTCGAAACTCCTCTCAGCATCCATAAGGCGGAGCACATCGAGGCTTCTGGAAGTCAGCAATATTTTGCATCCAGCAGTAGAAGATTTTTGAGCGGCCTCATTATCATATGAGATCCCGACAGCTTCAAGATCGAGTTTCTGCCAGAGGTCATCTAAAATTATGAGGATCCTCTTGCCATTCTTCAATCGCCACCGTAACTGCATTGCTCTGCCACTATCAGTCTCAACATCAAATTTGAGGCCCAACATGTCAGCAATTTCTCCTTGAATTTGTCTTATGACTGGATTGTGTGAAACCATTGCGATCGCCACTTCGTCAAATAAGTTTTCTTCCCTGACTTTACTAGCAACTTCTTTCGCAAGGGTGGTCTTGCCTACACCAGCCATCCCGTGTATTCCAACTATTCGGACACTTGATTCCCTTACGGCCTCCATAATCCCCTCCATGGCACTTGTTCTTGATTCAAAGGCCTTGTAGCCTTTGATTACTATTCCGTCTGGAGCAACAGAATGCGAAACTTTGTCGAATTTGCCTTCTCCCAGGAGTTGAATAATAGCCTGCGCCTCTTCCTCTGCTTTCTTGCTAAGCTGGTAACGAGACTTGAAATTAGGACACAACCCAATGAAACACTTCTTCTTGGCTTTCTCTTCATCCTCCTTCAATTGTGCTGCAGCATGCTCAGAGATCTTCTTATTGACCTCAATCAACCAACTATTAACATCAGGAAAAATCTCTTCCGCATTCCTCTTGGCCCTATCAACATTTTGCTGCACACGTGCTTGGGCATCCATCAGTTTTCGAACTTGCATCTTGAGATTCTGGACATTGCTGTCAACATATATTATGTACACAAACCCACGTTTGATGACACCAAACGTGCATTCCACAACTTTATTAGCAGCGCCACTAACAATGGATTCCATATTTTAATGGAATAATGGTGGAAAATCAAAGTGAAAGTCTGGGTTTTTGGTTCAAAATGGGGAAAAGAGAGACAATGGTTAATGGCAAAATGAGAAGGCTAGAGAGAACGGAAAGAAAGATAAGCTGAAAATGTAAATTGTTGCAAAATGAGAAAAGATGAGAGAAATGGGTGAGGATTGAGGAAGCCCTCATCACTTTCTTTTATAGGGGATAGTCTTGGAACATTCTTTTCCTCCTTCAGACGTAAAGCTTTTGATGATATTTCTTCCCCTGCTTGGGATGTTTACAACATGGTACAATGAAAAATACCAACATTCTTGAAAATCTTATAAAAGAATCAATTCATATTATATTCAACGTTTATTTGAAATTATATAGTTTGAACTTTTTGGAGGAAACATTAAAACTCAATTGATCAAAGAACCAGGGACATTAATTTTAATGGCATGAACCTGAATTTTAAATATGAAAGGAACTTCTAATTATGATATAATGGAAGATGATTAATAAAACAAAATTATGCTTTTTTCATCTGACTAAATGAATTATTCTTTCACCAAAAGAAAATTCCTGTCTTGTTTATTGTTGGTGACAGTGCTTTTTAATATTCTTTGCGTCTTTGTTTTGCTTTAATAATATAAAAAAGAGTCCTTTTATTCTTGGTTGTGTCCTGCACTTCATCTTATCAAAATCCTTTTGAAAACATTGAAATAAAGCAATCCATTCCTTTCTTTAGCACCAAGAAAAGAAAGGAAGCATAATTAAAGTGGTTGGCACTTGCTTTGTTGTTCCAATATCAAAATCTTAGAAGGTTTTCATAAGCTTTAAGTTTCACGTATGCAAAACGGTTTTTTCTCACATACGTAAAATTTTATTGGATTTGAATGATATCAAGAAGAAAGGAACATTGTTTTCTTTCACAAATTTCAAATTCTATTCTTAAGTAAATAAATTTAAGTAATGTTTGGTGCATAAGATGAAGGATAAGATAAAATGATAATAATCTTATATTATATTTAGTTTGTATCCAAAGAAAGAGATAGGATTTTAAGGAGAATTAATCATTTTCTTAGTATAAGATAATTCAATCTTCCAAAAGATTATTTTTAATTCATGGAATTAAATTTAAATGTCCTTTTATACTTTTAAAAATTACATCAATAATTTAAAGTATATAAATTTTAAGTAAAGATAATTTTGATCAATAAATAAATTATCTTATACTAATTCTTACACACATCAAATATAAGATAAAATGATATTATTTAATTCAATTAGACTATTTATAATATCATCTTATCTTATCTTATTATAATCTTATGTACTAAATATATCCTTATACGATCCAATTAAAGTTATCGCTCTATTAAATTGAGAGCTTCAAATTTACTATTTTACTTTTTATTGGTGTAATATCATCGTTCTACCTTAGATTTTTGCTGTAATCTCACCATTTGACAGTTAAAAAGTGGATGTTAAATGTTAAGATTGGTGACATGGCATTTGTTAAAAATTAAAAAAAAAAAATTGATAGGTGAATTAAATTAAACAAAAAATTGACATGTTAAAAGCAAGAGAAAATTAATATTTTTGATACTTTCCTATAAATAATTTTTTTACAATTATGAATTGTAAAATTAAAATATAAAAATATTCATAAATTTTATCACAAATATAAAAAATATAATAAAAATTAGTGATGGAAAGAATATCTAATTATTTTTATTTTTTATTTAATTATTGATATTATCTTTAGTTGGAATTTGAAACAAAATAATTTTTTTTAACTTTTCCACATAATAAAAAAAATCTTTTGATGCAATTTTTGTCGTGGATGAAAGTAGAATATTGCATTTAAATTACAATTGCATAAAAAATAGAATATCCATGATTGAAATTGCATCAAAAGATATAATAGATTGGTAAAATTGCACCCAAAAAAAATGGTAAATATGAAACCCTAATATAGTTTAATGGTAAATTTGACTCTTTTTTCTAATTTTTTTACATCTTCTTCCATTAAGTGATAAATGTAAAAATATAAATAACAAAAAAAGAATAAAAGAAAAACTAATATATATGTAATTTTTATTATTTGAACAAATGCAAATTAAATTAGTCAAAGTTTATATTTATAGGTATTAAAAGTAGAACAAAAGCGTTTTGTCTCATACCATAAATTAAATATATGATTGCTAATCATTGTGAGGTTTGTTATTAGAATGTTAAATTTTTAATTTCAATTATTAGAATTTAATTTTTAATAATCTCGAATACTAAAATAATAATAATAATAATAATAATAATAAATATAAATATATGATCCTCAACTTCAAATGATGCTATAACTGTCATAGTTTCCACATAATAAGAACTTTTAGGATTTAGAATTGAATTTCTAGATTAGATGATAAAATAAGTCAATATCATTTAAAAGAATCTTAATTTGAAGTTTAAAATATTTAGAACAACCTTAAAAAATAAATTAATAATTGATGGGAGGTATATTTTTCATTGTGAAAATCAAACATTCAGACGCATGTATATTACTTCAAAAGTATTTAATCAGTTAGTACCTTTCTATTAACTAGTTATGATTGTCCTACCATTAGCTTTATTTTTATCAACAATTGCAATAAGTTTCCCCCTTTTTAGTTTTAGCCTTTTGTCCTTCAAAATTTTTACCAACGCCAGCTTTGACATAAATAGCTCGAATGTACAGAGACTTAAAAACAGAAAATGAATTTAAAAAAATGCGTTTGGATTGAGAAAAATGAACAACTGTTTTCGAAAATAAAAATAGTAAAAACATGTTAAAGTATTTACATTTTTAACCTACATCACAGGGGCAACAATGAATATTGATGAATGATATGTGAAAATGAGGATTGAAATTTTGAAGATTAGAACCTAAGAAGATTCTTAATGTTTAATTCATATTTGATTTTATTGCTTTCAAAATTTTCAAGCTTCCATAAAAAAGTTTGATGTTTTCAACTTTTTATAGATAGTGTTATTTTCATATTTTAAATTATCAAAGTTTGCAAAATTAATTGACCTTGGCTTATGTAGTAAAGGAAGCACCAAGTGAATGAAATTTTAAGTTTGAATCTTACTGCTAATGGCCAAAAAAATTTAATGCTCTTTTCTTACTTCATATGACAATAATAGCAAAAAATGAACTTCTTTTTCTTAATACACGTAATGTTTCATACTTCATAGTATTAAAGATAAAGTGCTTCTTTTTTCGCCGAAATATCATTATTGTTATATTTATACAAAAAAAAAAAAGCTTGTTGAGTTAATTTGAACTAGTTCTCTATTTTATATTTATCATTATGAAATATTCAAAGAAATTTTTTTTGAATTATTTAAGGGATTTTAGGAATAAAAATAGCACATTATCAATAATTAAAAAAATGATAGCATATATATATATATATATATAGACACATATGAATTTAACAGACTAAAGTAATCAATATATACCATATAATATTTCAAAGAGTTAATTACATTTGTTGGATTTGAAATTTAAAAAAATGTATAATTTACACCTAAATTTTCAAATAATTTATTATTTTAATCGAATACTACTATTATTAACTTATCTAGTGAGTTCAACCTACGTTTTTTTTATGATTTGTGATGAATAGTAAAAGAAATTTAATTCTTGTGTTTTCATTAAAAAGTGAAAATATCTTTTTTTTTTTAATTTTGACCTATTTTTATTGTATTTAAAAAAAATTATTTTTCAAACAAATAAATTTTCTCACACATTTCCTATTTTTTATGAAAATAAAAATAAAAAGCGGTTTTGTTTTCATAAACCCAACACACACTAATATTTTCAATATTAATTTATTTTATTTTATAACAATGTGAATTATACTTGTAATAAAATTATACTTTTTTGTTGTATTAGAAGTGCGACGAGAATTCTGCTGATCATCCCAAGTTCGATTTGTAAGTTTTTTTTTTTTAGCAAAAAACGTCTTACCTAACTCCTGATCTTTTAGTCCAAAATCCCTATTCATATTTACCCTTTGAAATTGAAGATTTTAAAGAAAATGTATTAGATGTATAAGATTAAATTGATATTATAGTGCAATCACAAGAAAAGATAAAGTGATTTTGCTTAAATAAGCCAAATATTTGATGCTAGTATGTTTCATGCATCGCGCAAGGCAGAACTTTTCGACCATGAGGTAGTGTTAGAGAGAATAGATCAGAAGGCAATGCAAGGCATTAAGGCTGAGTGAGATAGGATTTTAAACTTGGGGTATTTAATTTTTTTATCCAAATATTGTAACTTTTATGCTATTTTGATGCTTGCTTGAATGTTTGAATGTTCCTTTTAGATATTTGGATTTGATATCTTATATAACTTTTTTTCTTTTTTGTATTTTAGTGGACCGTTTATATTTTTAGATATGAATATGAAATATTTCGATATCATAATTTATGGGCTACTTAATTAGTTTCATTTTCATATTAAATTGTTAATTTTGATATGGTTAATTAGAATTAAATTCTTAATTACATGATTAATTAACAACAAAAACGGTTTTTCCCCCCTTCATTTTGGACCAAAAATCACTAATTTTTTCTCCATTGAATTATCTAAAATGAAAATATTAACAAAAAAATTTCCAAAACACTATTATCAACAAAATTAAAAGACAAATACATCAATTTTCAATAAAAAATACTTCTGTTTGCAACAAAAATCTGTTCCAAATAAAACAATTATCGACTAAATTTTATTAAAATAAAATGTGAATTCTAATATAATTCTGTTAGAAAATAAATGTATTTCGACGAAAAAAAAAATTCCAATAGAATTTTGTCAGAAGATGCTGCCGATAATAACAGAATCACATTCAAAATTCCATTTTTGGATGAAAACAATAGCAAAATGAATGTATAAGATGAATACATCAAACCATAGTCAAAAATTTTTTTTATGATATTAAATATTGATGTATGTTTTTAGAAT